GTGCGGGGTTTCATATTTTAAGAAATTTGTTATAATAAATTGTAATTCAATTTAGATTATTTTGTTATTTTTGTGATATATATTGTAGTGTATATATTATAATATGTACACATACAAAGTGTATCTTTGTTTATAAAACAATAGAGTTGTGATTCATAAGACAAAGTTTGGAGTTTGAAATTGAAGAGTAGAGAAAAATAGTATTAAAGATAAATATATTATAGGTTAGATTGATGTAAAGTAGTGCTATATAAACAATTTTAATTTTATGTGTCAAAGTAATAGTTCGATTATTTTCGGCTATCTATCCTTTAAAATGTTTGTGCCAGTGATGAAACACATGATAATTTTGTAAATGTTGCAACTTTTAATTTGTAAAATAAAATTGATTCCGATATGTGATTGTGAACTATCCATGTTTGACTATTTGTTACCATACTAAAACTTTTAAATGTGGGTGATCAATTATTTTTAGTAAATGTGTTTTTGGCTAGATTTAATGGGATTCTTGTAAAGCCATTTATTTGGCCCATTTCGAACTTGTAAATATTTGTGTAATTATGATAAATATTTGGTTTAAAGTTTTAACTATTTAAAATTCGTTTGCAAAGCTAATCTATGTATTTAGACTTGACTAAGTTAAACGTTGTTAAGATCATAATATATATCACAATGATCCCAAAATATATAACAAAGATACAAAACATAAATAAGTCATCGTTTTAAGAAATAGGAAACCAAACATAGATAAACTAAGTTTTTTAGAAAACTAAACGAAATCCAATCTGTAATAGTTTTGCTTAACTGTTTCCGAACTTGCACATTCCTCATTAGGTTCCATTTCGTACTTGAGGTAATATCGTCAAGCAAAATCTGATCTGTAAACATCATTCATTTTAAAGTAAACACTCAAAAGTAGAATTTCTTCGTGTAATTGACAAAAAAAGGAAATACTTCGTGTAGTTAACAAGACATTTATATTATTTGGAAATGATGGTTATGGTGTTACACACATAACCGATGATAGTTCAGGGATGTCCGTATGTAATACCAATAGTTTGTGTAGTTAGCGAAACATTAAAATAGTCTGCATGTGTGGTGATGTGTTGGCGTATAGTTCGTGTAGCTGGCGATGATTTTTCCATTTTTTTTTCTCTTTCTTTAAATTCAATATTTTTAATGGCATTCTATGTAATATTCTACCTTTCATAAGGATATTTAATTTCTAATGATTCCCAATTAATAGTATAGATGTCATGAAATAAAAATTTAAAATAAAAACCCTCTTTTCAACACCTGTTTTGGTACGTAATCTTAAAAATAAAAATCCATACAATCGTGATTTGATTTGTATATACTGGTACCCGCATTTTTTATTCCTTGTAACTTTTTGGTCAAACTAAATGGTATGTGATCCAAATTCTATTGATGTTACCGTGAACTTTTTTTAAATGGTTGGGAAGCGTAAGACCACTTTTAGGGGTTTAGTATATGCGATAGATCTCAAACACACATAAATTACAATTAGTAGTTTCGAATTTGATATCTGTGAAATGGTAGTTCTTCTCTCTCGTCGCCATGGTTTAGCAGATTTCGTCAAGCCACCACCGCCGTCGGCCTTTCACGAGTCTGTCATCTCAAAACCCTAAAATCTATGTGGGTTTGTAAAAAATATCCAAATTGTGCTTGTGTTATTGTTTTCTGCAGCCCAATATTATTGTTTTGTGCAGCCCAATTTCATTTAGAACCCCAATAAAAAGAAATCTTTAAAAGCAAACCGAATAAATAAACCGAAGAAAAATAAATTTGGTTCAGTTTCGGAAGATATTTTAACATGATAACCGAGCCCAAAAAGCAGACTGCCGAACCGAACCAAGTTGTTATATATCATCCAATTTTCCGGATAAGCCAAAGTCAAAATGATAGTTTCCCTCTAATCTTTTAAGCTTAGAAATTAGGCCTGGGCATTCGGATTTCGGATCGGATTCGATTCGGATTTATTCGGATTCGGATAATTCGGGTAGGAGATTTTATTATCCGTTTGGATTTTATAACTATTCGGATCGGGTTCGGTTCGGATAGTATCGGATTCGGATCGGTTTCGGATTAATTTTGGATCGGTTTGCGAGGAAAAAAAACTAAAAAATGTTCAATTTAAATAAAAAATAGTTTTAATCTTACTAAAATTTGGCAAGTTTTCCAAAAATATGTATAATTTTAACAAATATAACTAAAAACTTTCCGATATCTAGGTTATTTAGGATATTTTTGTTATTTGTTATAAAATTATAGCTAAATATAAGTATATAACTAATATTTTTGGATATATAATTTTATTTTTGGTTTTCGGATATCTTTTCGGTTTTCGGTTCGGATCGGGTTCGGTTCGGATAATTCGGATAGGAGAATTCATTATCCGTTCGGGTTTTGTGACTATTCGGTTCGGATTCGGAGCCGGATTTTTCGGATTGGTTTCGGATCGGTTTTCGGATTTTGGATTTTATGCCTAGGCCTATCAGAAATAGATGATATATAGGAATATAAAATTGGACTAAAGAATGATTATTCGATTAGAGCCTAAAATAGAAGATATGTGTAGTGCAGGTATGTAGTTTACTGGTAGTAGTGGCAGAAAACCAGATTATGAGTTAAATAAAACCTTAGACCATCTCCAATGGTTAAGAATTTGGTTCTTAACTTTAGATTTTAGTATTATTTAAAAATAAATAGAGTATCTTAACAAAAATGTTCTCCAATGGTTAAGAACTCATTGGTTATTAAAAAAAAATTTCAAATTTTTCCAAAACAATATCTTCCAATACAAGCATTCATACAACCAAACTCATACAAGCATGGAAGAGAGTACAAAGAACAGATAGACCTATTATGAAATGATGGAGCTTCCATACAGTCCTCATATGATTCTAGAAACTAGCTATTATTCTGCAGCAGAGCAAGGCCTAAATAGATAAAGATTAGGTAAGTTTCTAATACATATGAAGCTCAACATCCTCCTATTCTTTACCATTACCAAAGAAAGAAGAAAGCACAAGGAGTTACAAGTAATTAAGAAAGATCCAGAAGCATCTAGAAGTTTTATAGGCCTAGTTATATTGTTTTTATCTTAGTTAAGAATAACCATGGTTAAGTGTCACTTTTCCATTGCACATGGCCTTTTCCATTGCATACTCGTGGAAGATGTTTGAATCAACATTAATAAAAATTTTAAATATCATTAACATGTCGCTTCAATACGCGTTAAATATTCATTTTATTATTTTTTAACACCACCAATATTAGACATATCGAATCCGTTTGATTTAGATAAAATTATCATATGGTATACCGTTACTTAATAACAATTATAAATTAAAAAATATATAATACATAATTATTAAATTTAAATTTTTTATATAATACATAAATATTAAATTTTTAAAAATCACTATTTTTAGAAAACAAATCATCGTACGGTGTACCGCGGATTAAAATTTAGTTAGCTAATTAAAACTAATCATAAATTTCCAAAAAAAAAAATCAGAACTTGACGTTGAAATCTATTATGTATATCATCATTGTACGTCACACCAGAAGAAAAAAATCTCAATTATAAGATTTTAGATCTCCAAGCAAACACCAATACTCTAAAAATCTTGATGATTGTATATATCTTTATTTAATCCAAACCCCATTAATCTTAACTGAAAATTTTACGAGAAAAATATTGAAAACCAAAAAAGATATATAATTTAATCCAAACCCATTAAGTATTAACTGTATATAATGAGAATTGATACAAATCATAAGAGAGGCGTTGATCGTGAAAAAACTTTAAAATAAAATATATGTCTTTGAGGTTACAAAAGAATATATTGCATTTAAACATAAGAATTTATAGCTAAAACCTCTTTAAAATTATCTTAAAATAATCTAAATGAAAATAATACGTCTGTCGAAAGAAACATTTTTAAGAAACTATCTTAAAAACTATCGACAGAAATAATTAAAACCTAAGAAAAAAAAACAAATAATGTCATAAAGTTTGCTGATACGGCACTCCCATCATTGGTAACTAGGGGTGTCAAAATGGTTTAAAATTGATGGATCAATCCAAACCAATCCAACTCATGGATCTAATGAGTTGAAATTTTGGATATTAATGGATTAATGGATTAAATGGTTTAATGAGTTTAATGAGTTGGATTGAAATGGTTTGGTTTAAAATGGATTACTGGGTTATCCATAACCAAACCAATAAAAATTATATAATTGAAATCAAATATGTAAACCAAATATAACCGAATTGAATCACTAAACCGATTTTAGTAAACCGAAATAAACATAATTTTCTTAAATCGCTTAACCATCGATCTTTCTCGGCGTCAAATCTCTCACTGTCGATCCCTCTCAATCTTATGGTTTCACCGGCAAATCCATCGACAACGTTAAACGACGAAGCCAACAACGCCGTTCACCGGCAAAGCCACTGACACTGGAATCCCTCATCGTCACTCATGGAGTCCTTGGTCGTCGTTTTGTGATCAATTTATGAACCAATATCATAGTTACAAGTATTTCGACGACGACGACGACGACGGCGACGACGATGACGACGGCGACGACGACGACGGCGACGGCGACGACGGCGACGACGATGACGACGGCGACGACGATGACGATGACGATGATGGTGATGGTGATGGTGATGGTGATGGTGATGATGATGGTGGTGGTGAATTGATGACGATGATGATGGAGTGATGATGATGATGGTGGTGGTAACATGATAGTTACTAATTATCAATTAATTAGGATTTAAATTATAAGAAAACTATGTTATGGATCAACTCATTAAATCCATTAATCCACTCATTTAAATGAGTTATGGGTTAATCCAAACCATTTGCTAAATGAATTGGATTGATTCATTAACCATTAAACATTAAATCAATATGGATATGGGTTGGTTTGGTTTGGTTTAACCAATTTGACACCCCTATCGGTAACCAATCAGCCCCTCGGAGAAACGTGGCAACCGTAAACCTTCCTGCCTCATCGTCAGACATAATGGGCTTACACACAGCTCATTTAACTCTCTGGGTAACATCCGACTCAGGACCCGAATTCTTGTACTCTCCGTAGAGAATAGTACTCGGAGGCAGGTCAAAATTCGAATTCCACGCAATCCAACCAACGGGATTCACGATCGATCCAATCACCGATTGCATAATCACCGTCATCGAAAACTCTTTCCACGGACGGCCAAGATACGTCTGAGCAGTTACATTTCCATTCGCGGAGATTGTGCATCGCTGGATCGAGGTTCCAGAGTTCTGATGCTTATCCTTTTTACCTTCAACGGTGATTGTGTTGAAGTGTTTTGGAAGCGGCTGACGCGGTCGGATGTTGTAGCCTTGGAAGACAACGGCTGTCATCTTCGGTTTATATCCAATCCATTTAACCCACCAACACTCGAACCCGGTCCATAATTCATGTACTATCCATAGGTAAGTGTTCTTGGAGGGCTCACCGTCTTGTTCCACGGAACCAGGCCCGGCGCATGACACAATCAAGTGAAGCCATGGCTTAAGGCATCAAATTAAAGGGGACATATTTAAAAAAGCTTAGTTTTTTATGTTAAAAAAATAGAATTATAAGCTTTTTTGAAAAAAAAATTTGTTGGACTTTCCTTTTATTATATTTTGTGTTCTTTATGTATTTAAATTAATATTTTTTAAATTAATAAAATATTAATTAAAGTGTGGTTAAAAAATTTTATTAGTAAAATTTTGGCTTAAAAATAAAATAAAGCTCTAAACGTTTACAAATTCGTGATCCCAACATTATTAATATATAGAGGTTTTATTGTACTAATAATTTTTTTTTTGTCGGGAACTAGTTAAGACCAAATCTGAACTTTATATATGGAAACGACATTAACAAAAACAGAAACATGCGTAATCAATTTCGCTAGGGGTGTTATTGTTACCAAAGAATAGTTTTGTCTGATTTTTGAGAATATAGAAAAGTACGGAGGGTCTTTTAATTTTCGCAATTTTGTATAAATTACGACGTATATATTAGAGAAAGACGAAATAATTTGGAAGTTAAACATTTGCAGAAACCCTAGCATATGATGGGGCGGCCGAAAGCGATACCAGATGATGACGACGGCGACGACCTTCCACAGTTCACAGGCTTCGAGCTCGATGGAGAATACATGAAGAGATTGGAGCACAACAAGAACCGCGAGGCTCTCCAGCGACACGAGGAGCGGAAGAAGAGAGGTCTCATCGACGATTCCGAGGAAGATTCTGAGCCGGAGTCTGAGCCGGATTCTGATCTCGGAAATCCTGAAAGCGATCTCAAATTCGTTGATTTGTTGCTTAAGGTAAAGAAAAAGGATCCTATTATTAAGAACAAAGATGCTAAGTTCTTTGAGTCTGATGAGAGTAGTGAAGAAGATGAGGTTGATAAGAAGGATAATAAAGAGAAGAAGCAGAAGAAGATGTATTTGAAAGATGTTCAAGCACAGCATTTGCTTGAGGAAGGTCCTGAGTATGTTGAGGAAGATGAGAAGAGGAAGGTTAGGACTTATGCTGAGGAGCAGGGAGAGTTGAGGAGAGCTGTTACGGATTTTTTTGAGAGTTGTGGAGGGAATGAGAGTGATGGAGATGATGATTTTTTGAGAGTTGTGGAGAAGGAAGGAGATGATAATGTGGAGGTTGATGAGGAGTTAGCTAAGAAAATTGATGAGTATTTTGGTGAAGAAGCTGAGGTTGTTGAGAATCAGTTTTTGAAAGATTATTTGGTGAAACAGTTGTGGAAGGAGAAAGAGGAGAATATTGTAGATAAAGCAGAGTTGAGGGAGTTGAGTGAAGATGAGCATGCTGTTTGGGATCAGGAGGATTTTGAGGCAGGAAGACCGTTGGAGAGTAGCTATAGGCATGAAGAGAATGCTGGGGACATTGTTATGGGTCAGTCTAGGGTTGTGGAAGGGTCGGTGAGGAAGAAGGATAATGCGAGGAAGGCGCAGAGGAAGAGTAAAGAGGAGAGGATGAATTTGGCTGAGATGGAGAGGAAAGAGGACTTGAAGCGGTTGAAGAATGTTAAGAAGAAGGAGATGAAAGAGAAGATGAAGAAGGTGCTTTCTGTTGCTGGTTTTAAGGATGAAGAAGAGTGTGTGTTAGATGCGAAAGATTTTGATAATGAGTTTGATCCGGAGGAGTATGATAAGATGATGAAAGCTGCGTTTGATGATAAGTATTATGGTGCGGAGGATTCGGATTTGAATAGTGATGATGATGATGATGGAGAGAAACCAGATTTTGACAAGGAAGATGAATTGCTTGGACTTCCCAAAGATTGGGATGTGACTAAAGGTGGGGATATTTTTACAGCCGCTAGAGAAAAGGGTTTGAAGCACAAGGGGAACGTTTTGGGTGATGATGAAGAAGACGAGGAAGAAGAAGTAGACGATGAAGAAGAAGAGGAAGAAGAAGAAGAAGTAGATGAGGAGAAGGAGGCAGAGGGTAAGAGGAAGAGAAAGCGAAAAACGTCACTTGTACAAAGAGCCAAAGAAGCTTTGATGGAGGAGTACTACAAGTTAGACTATGAGGATACAATTGGAGATTTGAAAACAAGGTTCAAGTATGCGAAAGTACAACCAAACAGATTCGAACTGGATACAGGAGAGATACTCACCTTAGATGACGCAGACCTGAACCAATATGTGCCATTGAAGAAGATGGCTCCTTATGTGGAAAAGGATTGGGAGGTGAATAAGCACAAGGTTAAGGAGCAGAAACTTAAGATCAGGGAGTTGTGGGAGGGTAAACACAATGAGAAGAAAAGCAAGAAGAGGAAGAAGACTGATGTTGCTGAGACGAAACCAACACCGAAAGCAGATGAGGAAGGCGAGGCTGAGGCTGAGGCTAAACTATCGAGAAAGGCGAAGAGAAGAAGGCGTCAAGCAGAGAAGAAGCTTCCTGCTAGCAGAATGGCTGCTTATGGGAAGACATAATAAAAATGGGAACTGGTGCAGCATCTCATTTCGTTTTAAGTTTTGGGCTTTTATTTTATACATTTCGAGTGTTTCGAATTTACTCTTTTTATAATTAGATCATAGAGAGTTTCAGCTTTATCGTTTCCTGTTATAGAGATTCTAAGTTTATCAGTTTACGAACTGTTTTTAGTACCATTTCAGTGTTTTGAATTATTATCATTCATTTTTCGTCAGTTTTGATGCTTGTAGACTCGAAGCTTATTCTTATCCCTTTGTCCAAAACTGCCAAAGTAGAGATCATGTTCTCTTGTATAGCAAACCTCTCATTACTTAATTTTGTAGCTAATGATCCAAATCTTGACAAGTAATAAACTACATTTCTTTTATAAGCAACAGAGGCACTTTGATAGTTACAATGAGTTAAAATAGTGCTGCTGCAAACAAGATGTAACAAAACAAACTGCTTTAATAACTTAATTGTACACTACATCAAGCAAAGAGTTAGCAGAAACTTCAGTCTTGAAGAAACCTTAAAGATGTTTGCACACAAAAAAAAACCTTAAGATAAACACAGCAAGATCAGACCATAATATTTCAAAATGAAACTCTAACCTAGCAAACCGGCATACACCAAAGCACTTCCATCATTACGATCTGATCCCCGCTGTGTACCAAAACGTAAACGATTGCAGAACCTAGAAACACTTCCCACGAACTTGAAGACATCATATCCAACATAAACTACATTGCATACATAGGCAACCTACGTAGTACCTAACCGAGAAGACATTAAAAACTGTCAGGAAATGTCTATGACCCAGAGCCCTAACAGTTCTAAATTTGACAGGATCATTCTTCTTGAAGTGGTTTAAGGCTAACCCCTAAACCCTCAGTTACATCAGTGCTTCCTCCCTCAGTTGCATCAGTGCTTCCTCTAAGCCGCTTTTCCGGATTATCATCACCCTGCTCAGCCGCATCAAACTTCCTTTTAGACCCCTCAGATGAAGTTCCAACCATTTCAGATTGCACCTGCGCGTTAACTTCCTCATCGCCATCAATACCTTGCTGCTGCTGCTCCTCACCATCCCCAACAGGTAAATCCTGAACCACATCAGCAGATGCATCCGCCGCTTCGACCTGCTCCAACATACCACCTTCACCATTGTTCTCAGCAGAGCCATCAAAACTAGCCTCATGAGGCGGTGGTGAAAGATCACGTTCATAAGGATCAGGAACATCAACCCAAGGGACTGAACAATTCCTAGCGAGATGATTCATAGCACCACAATTAAAACAAAACTTAAACCTCGCTTTACTACAACCAATATCCTCATACCTAAAACTCACAATCTTAACCTCTCCAGAATCAAACCTAGCCACTTTCTTAAAACACAAACGTGTATCCACACAAACATTCACACGAGCACGCACAGAACTCAAATCAACCATTGCATCATCTAATTCAACTTCCATTACCTCACCCATAGACGAAGCAATCTCACGAACCGTCCCATCACAAAGATACTGAATCGGAATCCCACGGATCTTCAACCACATCGGCACCGATTTCAGAAACTCAGGACCTTGCTCATCTTCCCACTTCTGCAACACAACGAGCCATCCGTTAAACGTATAAGGACCAGACCAAAGAACCATTTCCAAATCCCGCTCTTTCTCAAACACGAATTGAAACTTCCCGCCGCCGATTATGCGTCCGTGACATTCAGATTCGGTGAGACACCACTCAAGACGGAGTTTATCGATCACCGAGTAGAGATCTTGTCTTCTAGGGCTAAGAACTCGACAAACCAAGCTTTGACGGTTTTTCTCACGGACTTCTGCGTAAACGGTTTCTGGGACGGCGATTTGTTCATCGGATAAACCTAAAGCGAGATATCTCGGTGTTCTTCGCGGATTGTTCAAAGCCATCGTCGCCGGTGAAACTCAAAACGGAGTATCGCACCGATTGTTTCGAAAGGAGAGAAATTAGGATAAGCACTAGAAATGATTTATTAATCATATTTATATTTACGGTTTTAAATTAATTTAGTAACCGCCCCCACTAATGGTAACCGTTTAGTTTATGTAGTTGGGCCTACTATAAGCCCAGGCATTATCTAACAACAAAGAAGAAGAAAAAGTTCAAAATCTAGAGAGAAGAAAGTACATAACCTTGTTGAGACTGATTCTTCTTGCCGAGATGGTCTATTAATTTAACTTCCTTTTGATAAATTTATTGACTTTGACTCATTATTTTTCTTTTATTAATAGTCTACCAAAAATTGGTTTGTATTTTTCCCTCTAATTAATTTGACTATTTAAGAATCAGTTTTAGACTTTTAGTAACTAATTTATTGATTTGACTATTTTTCTTTTTTTACAATAATTATATATGGTAAGATCATTACTTTGTGAGTCAAATAAGTTGCTTATATAAATGATTCACTCGAATATTGATATAGTGTGTAAAACAAAAGATGATATCCACCAAAGCATATAGACTCTTCCAGGTCTCCTTAGCCTTAGCCTTAATCACAACCTCTTCGTTATCTATCGCGGCTCAAGTCTTCACCATAGAGATAAGCAACACCCTTGCACCTGGCTCTAATCCGATCTCCATAAGCTGCATCTCGCCCCAAAGAGAGACTTGGTCCACGGTGTTATCTCGAGGTGCGAGTTTCGATTTTCACTTTGACACAAACCAATCAGTTAAATGGAGTTGCGACATCTCATCGGGAGCCAAAAAGAGTAGTTTCGTCATCTTTGATCTTAATAGAGACAAATCAAGATGCAAAACCGATGGTTTATGTCTATGGCAAATCAATCCTGATGGTTTCTACCTATATGTCGCTTCTATTCAAAAATACCAAAAGCAATTCAATTGGTGATACACCAAACAATATGCATTGTGTTATTGTATCGTTGAGTCGTATAATATAATATTTATATATATAAAATAATAATAAGATTTCTAAGGTGTTTTAAATTTTATGATATGATTTAGTTCATAAGAAATCACAAAAAGAACTTGGTTTAGGTGCCGTAACGAAAGGATAAGTAAGAAATTCGTTTTTTTTTTAACTTCATAAAAATGGAAATTACATATATAAAAATTGGCTAACTCTTTTCATATGAGTGACATGTCAACACTCAGAAGGCTGATACATATCATCATCATAAATTTATTAAATTATCTTTTTTCTTTAATTAAAAAAATTATTAAAGTATCTAACGCTTACAATCTGAAATGATTGCGGTAACCGATGCGTTTCATCATCCCTTTCATCTTTTTCGATAGAGGTTCATCATCATATAGTTTTCAACACTTCAACAACATCACCTTCACTTTAGGAAAAACTATTACGCTTGTAAACCTGGTATTCGTCAGTTTACACACTTATGTTAAATTATATTTTTGTAATGCATTCCCATGGTGATGGACCATCAGTGATGGTGTATATCTCAATGGATTTTAGTTCATGATAAGGTTCAAATTAACTCTTAGAACTACTCTCTCAAATCTATATATATAATTAGAGAGTCTTCTCTCCATCTAGGGTGTCTACATCAGCATCCATGTCATCATACTTTACATTTTTGTAGGCTCCACATATCTTATTTATTAAAACAAAAACATTAAAACTAAAATTAATTCACATATTAAATAAAAACAATAATTGACAAAAATTAAATGAAATATTATGAGGAAACAAAAAAATAAATATACAACTTAAAATATGAAAATTTTGAATGGAGATTGGATAAATATAAATTAGATAATTATATTTTAACATATGAGTAATTATTTTAAAATAGTTAGAGATAGGAAAAAAGAAACTTATCATATATTTTAACGGTACAACAATTATTTTTAAGAGTTACAATTATTTAGTAGAGTAAAGAAAATAAGAGTTAAAAACAAATAGGAAACAAAAAAATAAATATACAACTTAAAATATGAAAATTTTGAATGGAGATTGGATAAATATAAATTAGATAATTATATTTTAACATATGAGTAATTATTTTAAAATAGTTAGAGATAGGAAAAAAGAAACTTATCATATATTTTAACGGTACAACAATTATTTTTAAGAGTTACAATTATTTAGTAGAGTAAAGAAAATAAGAGTTAAAAACAAATACCAAATTTAAAGGTTTTTACTTAAAGTAAAAAGCAATTCATTTTTGAAAATAGACATTCAAAATGTGAGTACCGATTAAAACATAAGAAGGATTTATGACATATTATTATTTATAAGTATAATATAATATAAATAGTTAAATTATTAAAATTTTCTATATTATTAATGTTTTCTAAGTTAAAAAGTAGTGCTTTGTTTTTTTAAAAAATGAATACCTAAAAAAACTGTAATATTAGTCAGTGTTTAAAAAATTAACATAGATTGAAAAAAACTAAGGTGATTTGAAATAAAACAAAAAAACAATCCTAAACACCAAAATTCAAACAAAATAATCTTATAAAATAATAAAACTGTGTAATAATAATATTTGAGTATGCTATTTGGAATTAGAATAATAATGGTAGACTGAAGAAATTTTTTATTAAAAATAAGAAGGATTTTGATATTTATAAAATAAATGTATTCTAAAATTAGAATAATTTTTATGAGTTCGTAAGTGTCACATTTTAGAAAAGTCAACATTAAAAATACTATCTAGAATCATAATATACGTTAAATTATATATATAGAAAGAGGATTTTGTATTTTTCAAATGGTCAAGATAAAAGTGCAAAACTTTATGTTGAAATTCTATGTCTGTGAATAAGAATGAGTCTATATATAAGATTTGTTGTCTATAAAATAATTTTAGATGCACCAAAATATAGTCAAAAAATATTACAACAAACATCTCCCCAGATTTATGTTTCCGATGTTCACTTAAATAAAAAGATCATGAAACTTATAAAAAATTGAGTATTGAAAGATATGAAGGAGAAAATAGTTACGAGCTAAGGAGAAAAGAGAGTAGATGTCGGGAGACAACGAGTGAATCATAGAAGATAACGAGAAAAATTGCAGTGAAAAATGTGAGAAACTTTTTACTACTTTGGAAAGATAATGCACATGAGTAAAGTATAATATTTTTTTAATTCAATTGATTCAAAAAATAAAAGTTTTAAATTAAATCCCGCGCAACGCGCGGGTACACAATCTAGTAAGAGATCAATTGCAGCACTTAAAGGTCGAATTACACAAAGTTCTTTTGTTCACACAATAAGCTAACAGTTTCGAAATTAGGCTAAATAAAATATTAAGAAAATTAAAATAAAACAAGCAATTAAATCAGGTGAAAATTCAATAGATTAAAGCGTCAGGTTTAGGGAAATTTTCAGGAAATAAACTAATAGTAAATCTAGCAAATTAATTAGGATTATTATCGAACCGTTCCAGAACTCAAAACACTAAAGTATAGCCAACCACCTCTCGAATGTATTGACTAACTAATCTAATATCAGGTAGTTCCACCTCTCGAATGTAAACTCCTAGATCTAGACTAGCATTAAAAAGAGGTTTGATATGTTCACAAATATTCTTAGACCATTTCTCGTATGAATCTAGAAATCTTTGCCCACCTAAGATAGTTCCAGTAATAAATGACTTCTAGAATCTACCTATTATCGTTTGATCAAGTTCTAGTTAGCTACTCTAGAACTAGCATTAAGAACAACCTAAGGTGAAGAACTCTAAATATTAATCCTAACAGGTAATCGATTTACTACTTCATCTAAATCCCTAATGAGAATCCCTAAACCTAACAAGGTGATTACTCAGACATAATTAATGAAACAGAAAACATTATCTAACAACAAAGAAGAAGAAAGTATATGTAACCTTGTTGAGACTGATATTCTTCTTGGTGAGATGGTCTATTAAGTTTGTGTTTTATTAATTTCTTTTTGATAAATTTATTGACTTCACTCATTTTTTTCTTTTTTTTAATAGTCTACCAAAAACTTGTTTGTATTTTTCCCTCTAATTAATTTGACTATTTAAGAATCAGTTTTAGACTTTTAGTAACTAATTTATTGATTTGACTATTTTTCATTTTTTACAATAATTATTTATGGTAAGATCATTACCTTGGGAGTCAAATAAGTTGCTTATATAAATGATTCACTCGAATATTGATATAGTGTGTAAAACAAAAGATGATATCCACCAAAGCATATAGACTCTTCCAGGTCTCCTTAGCCTTAGCCTTGATCACAACCTCTTGGTTATCTATCGCGGCTCAAGTCTTCACCATAGAGATAAGCAACACCCTTGCACCTGGCTCTAATCCAATCTCCATAAGCTGCATCTCGCCCCAAAGAGAGACTTGGTCCACGGTGTTATCTCGAGGTGCGAGTTTCGATTTTCACTTTGACACAAACAAATCAGTTAAATGGAGTTGCGACATCTCATCGGGAGCCAGAAAGAGTAGTTTCGTTATCTTTGATCTTAATAGAGACAAATCAAGATGCAAATCCGATGGTTTATGTCTATGGCAAATCAATCCTGATGGTTTCTACCTATATGTCGCTTCTGTTCAAAAATACCAAAAGCAATTCAATTGGTGATACACCAAACAATATGCATTGTATTATTGTATCGTTGAGTCGTATAATATAATATATATATATATATAACAAGATTTCTAAGGTATTTTAAAATTTATGATATGATTTAGTTCATAAGAAATCACAAAAAAAAACGTGGTTTAGGTGTCGAAACGAAAGGATATGTGAGAAATTCGTTTTTTCAACTAGCATAAAAATGGAAATCATATACAGTAAAAATTCTATAAATTAATACCTCGATAAATTAATAACCTCGATAATTAATAATTTTTTCCGGTCCCGAGTTGAGACTAGTGTAAAAAATAACAAAAATTAATAAGATAATAACTTTTTTGAAACTTTTATGTAAATATATGGTCTCATCAATTTCATAAATTAATAATTATATAAACTTATCAATATATATATATATATATATATGATATTTTATATATGTCATATATGAATTATTATGATATATATTTAAAATATTATATTCAAAACATTTAATGAAATATGACTATATTATTGTTTATTTTTATAAAATTTGTATTAATTTGTGGTATAGTTCATTTCTAATATTTTTACTTGATCAAAATAAGTTTGTGTTGTTTTCTAAACTTCATAATTGCTTTTCTACGGGTAATTAGTTTTAAAAGATATTGCTTATAAAGAAAAAAATGTTTTTAAGATAGAAATTTTTTTTTAATTACAAAATTAGTAAAATCTCTCTATAAATTAATAATTATTAATTTATCGATAAATTAATAGAATTTTATGGCCCCAACAATATTAATTTATAGAGGTTTTATTGTATATTAAAATTGGTTAACTCTTTCCATATGAGTGACATGCCATCACTCCAAAGGCTAATACATGTCATCATCATAAATTTATTAAATTATCTTTCTTCTTTCACTAAAAATTTATTAAAATCTAGCGCTTACAATCTGAAATAATTGCGGTAACCGATGCGTTTCATCATCCCTTTCATCTTTTTCGATAGAGTTTCATCATCATATAGTTTTCAACACTTCAACAACATCACATTCACCTTAGGAAAAAAGATTACGATTGTAAACCTAGTATTCGTTAGTTTACACACTTATGTTAAATTATCTTTTTGTAATGCATTCCCATGGTGATGGACCATCACTGATGGTGTATATGTCTATGGATTTTAATTCGCTAGTGTGTCGTGATAAGATGTATTATTTTTAAAAAATTATTTGTAAAATACTCATTCTTGCATTTTTGATGATTATATGCTAGCTATTTGTAAAAACAACTATCTCTTTATTTTGAAACACTGAATGATTCATTTAGCTAACTTTCTTTTTTGTCAACAGATTCTTGTTTTCTTTTATATAGAGAGAGAAAGCTACCATTCATATATATGATTCAACAAAAATAAGGATGGTCCTAAAATAACGATCATTGTGGTGCCCTATTCAAAAGAAGAAAAATAATGACCAGTATCGTGATTGGTTAGGATCTTGATGGGTTAGTAGGGAAATTAATAGAAAAGAATTAGACGATTTATCATATCGAAGTTCCTTGAGATTTAAACTAGATGAACAACCAACTTGCAAGGTATTTCGGAAGCTAGCCTTTTTGATTGTGATCATTTTATTGGTTATTAACAAGATCAAAAAGTTATATTTACCAACCAAATCAAATTTTGTAAGAACATACCTTGTGGGTTTTATATACAAGATTTCATTTTCTATTGTTTCATAATTGTAGTTGGATGGTTACACACTAAGCACTTTAATTTTTGTTATTCGTGTGATGCTGCATCATAACATAAACAAACTCTTTAGTTTCACAAAAATGGCTATCACGAACCAAAAACAGAGTCATAATTGTGATTTAACTAACTTTATCATACCTTTAAAGCACAATGCTCACAGAAGTAATGCTTGCATTTGGTGCAACCGGATCAACAAAAGGCTCTTTGCAACTGAAGCAAGCAATGGGCAATGCATCTTCTTCTTCTTCATCACTGCTGTCAGCGTCTTCATCATCTTCATCCTCAACTCCCATAGCATTATTTCTCTTCCTAACATTCTTTGCTTCTTCGCATTCTTTCTCTATTTGCCATCCCGGTTTGTAATCCCCACAGTCATGCAAAAACTTACAAGAATCTCCATATCCAAAATATCCTGTTTCTTTGTAATCCTTGCATATATCTGGCTGGTAGTAGAGTTACTTCACTTGTGGTAGCAGAGTTCTGAGATGGTCCAGAGGAAAAGAATAACTTGCTATCGGGTTTTGCAACTTTCTTTAGATTTTGTAATATAGAGCTTTCGCTTTTGGAAACTCCGTCTTTTTCTAGCGTTCTTTTCCTTATGGTTTTGGCTTTTGATGGATTATTGAAGCAAGTGAAAATTGAAACAACAGAACAAGGATATTATCTAACAACGAAGAAGAATAAAAAGTCCAAAATTTAACATGTTATTTATCTTCTATGTATAAAATTCGAGTTTTTGGTGCTTATGTGTCAAACCCACAATTATTTATATCTTTTTTATTTGTTTATTTATTTAATTCTACTGTCCATCTTACTAAACATTTTTAATTCCATATACTACTTTTCTAACTAAACTTACCAAAATTAAATATCTCGAATTTTTAAATAAGAAAACTTCTATAATTAGGAGTTTTTTATATACATTGTGTTTTTCAATTGAAAATTAAACAAACATCAACAAAATTTTTATATATTACGAAAATTTAAACTGAAACCGCAAATCTATAAGTCTAAATTTATGAATGACGTAAATAAAATTTTATTTTGTATATATAAATTATTAAAGTATTTGAATTTTAATTTGTAAGTTTATTTCTAAACAAAAAGATTGTGTTATTGCATGATATTTATATATGATTATTTTCATGTAAATATTTTTAGCGTATTTACAAAATTTATTTTTGACATTTCATAATTCAGTATAAAAACTTCGAGTATTTTTTAAATCGTTCTGTCATAAAATAAATAACATATGATTTACCTGTGCATGACACGGGTTCTTACATAGTTGAACTGAATAACCTTTTATTTGTAAAAATATAATGTGTTTTACAAAAAAGTATCTTTATGAAAAAAATAGAACTGAATAGCGTCTAACATATAAAAATAATGTGTTATATTGAAGTAAATAACATGTCATTTGGAAAAAATATATTTTACAAAAAAAACTCGTGTTAATGGTAGAGAGGAAAAGAGAATGATTCCCACGAAAAAATTGGGATTTTGGATCGGCGAGGAAGGTTGATGGGCTTATGTCGTAGAGATCCGGTGGTTGTAGTGGTGGAGGATGTGGTGGTTATGGTTGTGGAGGAAAGAGAGATGAGTGGCGATTTGTTCCGAGGTATATGCGCATTCTTTGGTTCTTCACCTCATAATCATGTTAGTGTTTTGTGTGGTTTCGAAAAATAGCATGAATAATATGCTTAAATGGATATAAGAGTAATTGTAATCGAAGAGAAAATAAGTACTATGACATCATGGTTAGTTTGTTAATTCTTTTTTGATTCATGGTCATTTTATGGATATTCCTTTTATTAATTTCCTTTTGATAAATTTATTGACTTGACTCATTTTTCTTTTTAGTGGTCTACCAAAAAACTGGTTTGTATTTTTTCCCTCTAATTAATTTGACTCTTAAAGAACCGGTTTTAGTTACTAATTTATTGATTTGACTCTTTTTTTTTTTTTAAGAATTATACGGTAAGATCATTACTTTGTGAGTCAAATAAGTTTCTTATAAATATATGATTCACTCGAATATTGATATAGTGTAAAAAACAAAAGATGATATCCACCAAAGCATATAGCCTCTTCCTTGTCTCCTTAGCCTTAGCCTTTACCTCTTCATTATCTATCACGGCTCCAGTCTTCACCGTAAAGATAACCAACAACCTTGCACTTGGCTCTAAACCGATCATCATAAGCTGCATCTCGTCCAAATTCGATACTTCGTCTCAGGTTTTATTTCGAGGTGAGCCTTTTGGATTGATGTTTGACACAGACCAATCAGATAAATGGAGTTGCGACATCTTCTCATCATCGGGAGCCAAAAAGACTAGTTTTGTCCTCTTTGATCTTGATAGAGACAAATCAAGATGCAAACCCGATGGTTTATGTCTATGGCAAATCAATCCTGATGGTTTCTACCTATATGTCGCTTCTATTCAAAAATACCAAAAGCAATTCAATTGGTGATACACCAAACAATATGCATTGTGTTATTGTATCGTTGATTTTTTATATATAATAAGACTTCTAAAGTATGTTTGAACATTATGATTTGATTTTAGTCATAAAACCCCTTATGTATTCATAAGAAGTCACAAAACGCAATTCTCATGGTGATCCAATGATCAAATAACATCCATTGGATGATTGAGTCACGTAATATCATATCACCTCTTGAGCTGTGCCATCATCTTGAGTCTAACAACCAGTTACAAACATACATTCACTTATGACGACAGATGGAAGTGAACATGCATTCTTATCAATTTTTAGCTTTTATGATACGATTTGGTTATATAATCCTTATGGGTATTAATTCATACGAAGTCACCAAAAAAATAATGGTTGATGGCTATAAAATATAATCACACAAGGAAAATTTCATCAATATATGCCCGCCAATCTCTCATCATGTATCCCTTTTTCAGTATTATTTGAAGTGATCCCTATTATATAGTTTTTTGTTTTCATTTATTTTCCAAAAAAATATATTATATTGTGTTCCATATATTCACATAACAAATTGATTTTTGAAATTTGTTTCCTTTCTCGTGCTACTTTGTAGATTTTATTAATTATTATATAAGATTTTTCATATCTGGTTCTGCCATTTTTAATCATTTCCTACATATTATTCAGCAAAATAATTATATGTTTCCATTTTCATTTTTCCTCAATAAATTAGAAAAAAATCTAGTTAATTATTGTGAAATTTCATATTTAAGAAAAACACATTCAGTTTTTATCATAATATATACACACACAATATCATCCTTAAACACAAAGATTTAAACAGTAATTTGCATTGTTTAGAAGAAAAACAAAAAACATGAACACTCCAAAAACAATCATTCTTCTTCTGCTTCTGCTTATCGTCATCTCCTTAACGATCATCTTCACGTTGATACTTCAACCACAAACTATGTTTCTAGGAGAAGAATTCGACGTACGTGTGATCAACAGCTTCAGAGACAACTCGTCCCTCCCTCTAGTGATTTGGTGCACTTCGCCGCAAGGAGATCTCGGTGGTCGTGCGCTTCAAGAAGGAGACGACTTCGAATGGACGGCCAAGATTGATTTGTGGTCGTGGATGGCAGAGTACACATGTACAATGAAATGGAATTCGAAGAGGAAGAGGTTCGAGGCGTTTAAGGTTTCTAGAGACAGCAATAGATGTGGATCTACTAAGAAGTGTTCTTGGTCCGTTAGAGAAGATGGATTTTATTTTAGTAGTGACGAGGTTTATTGGACCAAGGATTTTTCTTGGTTATAATTTTTTTTTTTTTCTTGGACCAAAGATCATTGATGTAGCCAACAATAGTGTAATTAAAAATTAAAAAATGCGGGATAAAACTTATATGTAAGTAAGAATGTGACATAACATGATTAGTGTCGATGCTCTTACTTAGGGAATAGTATAGTGCCCATTTTTGTTGTTGTTAAAAATCTGGGAAAAGAAAACAAAAGGTTGAGATTGCATTTAGGTTAACTGGCCCATTTTGTTTTTGTTAAAGTCCACATATGTTTTGTCAGATCGTAAACGACGAAGGGCATACTGCCACTTCAGCCCAATATTGTTTTTTTTTTTTTTTTTGTCAATCACAAGACAATTGTTTATGAGTAAGATTTTATATTTTTCTCCCATTATCACCAAACTCAATATCAGTGTCAGTGGTATTTGGATCTAATGCTTAGTTAAATCAAAAGAGTAGTAGTAGCTCTATGTTAATCTAGGATTCAAAGTTCTATCATAGTAGTAACTAAAATATACGCTTGACATAATTCTCTACCACACCGATAAGAGATATACCGTTTTGATTGTTAGCAAATATAAAAACGAAAATAATTAAAGATATATCATCATTTATTTTTTACCATTTTCTCTTACTTTTTTTAATTATAATGGCATCAATTTTTCACAAAAAAAAAAAAATGAAACTTAATTTTTTTAATGTTATGAATTGAATTACCTTGTGGAATTCCCCTTGGCCTACTGGTTGACCAAAGGTTAATTAATGCTTCTACACCAAGAGGTCTGGGGTTCGAGTCCCAGATACTGCGATTTATTAATAAATTTGCAGATTAATAGAGGCAAGTGTGCAAGAGATCTCCAACGATGTACAATTATAGCCGTTCGCCAGGATTCTACGCAGAGAGGGAAGTGTCGTCAGGTCGTGGATCATTGAAGGTGTCCGTCAAGAGCATGAAGGAGGTTGTGTCTATCGTAAATCTAATAAGGATTGGAAGGAATTGTCCGTTGTAGAATCGTCTATGTAGCAGTTCTCATAATTTACAATAAATAATAAATCCAGACGTTAAAAAAATGAATTGAATTACCTCCGATAGTTAGATGTATTATTTCCTGTTAAATATATATTATTCCTTATAAACTAACAAAAGTTTTATAAGAGTGAGGATGTAGTATACAATTCCAAAGTCAAATTTTGATATACCTAACCCTCCCAATATACACATTGCCATGGCTTATAAGTTATAAGATATTATTTTCCATTAACAATCAAGATATCCAATTCTTTGGTCAACACAAAAAGAATCATTGTGATACAATCACTTGAATTCCTAGTTAGATTTGTATATAAATGCAAAAAATCTACAAAAATATAATATAGATAGAGAATGAAATAAAATATGGTAGATACATATATTTATTGAATAATTTAGAAGAAAAAAATGATGATATGATTCATGGCGTACAATGGAGACAATGGAGTTGGTGGAATGGGGAAGAAGAAGAGTAAAGGCATGTGCAATGACATTAGCTAAGTATCAAATCCCCCATGTGACTACTACTCCACACTCACTGACTTCTCCAATCATACATTACTACTCTAATCTTTTTTTTAATCCCTTAATCACATTAAGTTAATCAAAGAATTAGGAAATTGTTACATCTAATCTACTTGCATTTGGCTTATACGCCTGCATCATCAGTTTTTGTGTCCAGAGATCATGATGTTGACTAAAATCGTATTAAGATTGTAAATTTGCTATTTAGAAATGAAAATAAACCATTAACCAAACATGTTCACACATCATAATTGTGTTTTGGTTATATCAACATGACGAAATTATGTTTTGTAATGAGTCACTGCGCATAATTGTGTTAGTGGATAAAATGTTGATCATATGGAATCATAAAATGTCTTGTACAATATAAAATAAAATAATTGCTCAAGCTTTGATAGATTTGGTTGTTAGTTGATAAGTTGTTGACACTTATTATTTCTTTTTTTCCCACCCATCAAATTTTCTTTTTTCAATAGTAAAATAAAAATGCTTTACTTGATCTTATTGCATACCTTACTTTGGAAAAAAACATAACTATGAAAATATATCAAAATTAAATAGTTGTGGTTGCTATCTACTTTTTTGATAATATGTCATTTTAGACAATGTCAGTAATTAAAGGCAAAAGAAGAATCACTCAATCAAGACATGCAAGAAAACCCCAAAATTGACTCATATTTCCAATATCTATCATAGTTAGAAACTAGTATAATTAGTTAGCCTAACTAAATTGACATTTAAAAGGGTCAAATTTATATGAAACTTATCATCAACAATAACTTACTTATAATATATTTTTTTCTATTTTTAAAAATTACCAGCAGAATAAAATAAACAGTAAAATGAGAAAGTTATCTTCCATTCCCAGACCATAATATCCCCTAATTAAGTAATTACCTCTAATTTCACAAACAAAAATAAAATAAAAAAAACCTAAATTCCAACTGCAAAACCCTAAAACAGACTTAAAAACATATAAAGAGAAATAAACGAAAAAAAAAAAGTTTCTCCAAAAAAAAAGAAGAGAAAAATTAAACCTAACAATTTTTATCCACAATCTTTCCGATCAGCGTCACCGGACTGATACTGCTTCCTCATCTCTACAATCTTCCGGTGCGAATTCGAATGCAATTCCGCCGTAAAAGTTGGACTATTCGCCGGACGATACTCCGGAACTAGCCTACCAGACTTATACCTCACGCCACAAGCGTTACACAGAGTCTTCGGTCCCGCTGGTCCCGCCCTCCATTGCGGCGTCTTCTCCGCTCCACAGTGTTGACACTTCCTTCCCATAATCATCGCCGCCGCCGCCGCAACAGACGGCGTTTTCTTCTTCTGTATTCCACCTTGCTCGTTTCCTGTCCACAAAACTCCTAAATCACGGCGTCCTGTACGACGACGCTTGCTTCTCGCTTTAGCCGGTGCTTTAAAACCAACGCAGCAGCTCATTATTGTTGGGGTGGTTGTTGCGGCGGTGGCTACGGCCGTGCTTCCGTTACTTCCGCCGCTGCTGTTTGAGGTCGTCGTTGTGGAGCTATGGCTACTCGTCTCAAGTACTGAAACCGGACTCAACCGTTTTCCCTCAGGCGCTTCTCTCTCCGGCGACGTTATACTGAAATGTTCCGGCGGTAATATGCCGACGAATGTATCAATCACCGGAAAAGCATTTTTGTTTGAAATCCATTCCAAATCCTCTTCCTCAACCACTCCCTGCAACACAAATTCCAAATTAAATCACTGAGTGAACTCGATAATTCGACTGAGTCAACTCGGGAAAACACGTCCTCGTTTTCCGAAAGAGATAATGGGTGGTTGAAGAAAAAATGGAAGGGTAATTATGTCATTTCATGTTTATCCTGTCAAATTGAGGAACATCGAATAATAAATAAAATAAAATAAAATTCAAAAAAGGTGTGTCAAATAAAAATTCGAAATGGTTGAAAATTAATTGTGGTAGCTCACCATCATGTGAGGAACAGCTCACGAAACAATGACCCTCAAGAAAAATGTAAATTCCCGAATATACCCCTCCAACAAACAACCGAAACAAATCTCCAAAAGGTTTAACAATCAAAGGGTAATTCTGTCTTTTTACAAAAACACAAAAACGAACCAGCGAAACGTCCCCCACATATGACGTGCACGTTTAATAACATAATAAAGGAAAACGCGTTTTCCGAAACCCGAACTTTTGACTCGAAACCCGAACTTTTGACCCGGCTGAGTCAAAAATCCCCCGCCGCCGTGAACCGGCGAGTCAACTCAACCGCCGTGAACCGGCGGACTATTTAACAAACATGTTTAGGCGATTTTTTTTTTTGGAAGACTTACAAGGTCATCGGTATTAAAGAGACCGAAGGCATCCGTTTGCCGTAATCCAGTTTTCCGGCGAGTAATATTCCTCGGTGGTTGCGTATGTTCGTCATCGTCTTCTTCTTCTTCCGGTACAGAGAAGTTCAAAAGGTCGTCCATGAATGATTCCATTTCAAAAATCGCTTCGAAGTTTTTTTTTGGTTTTAAGAGAGAGAAAAAATGTTGATAAAAAGGAACCAGAAGAAGTTTTAATCTCTCTCTCACTCCCTCTCTCCAAATATCAGACAACGGCGTTTAGGCCTTTAGGGTTACTTTTATTTTTTTTAATATTAATAATAAAATAGTAATTTGGGTTTTAAATTAATTTTGGTTGGAAGTGGGGAAGAGGATGACACGAAATGGTTTTTTTTCTTTCCCTTTTTAAAATCACTTTTCCTATAACGTATACTGAAGCAACAATCAAGTGTAACGCGGTCCAGTGCATTTAATATAGTCACCAAGATCAACGGCGTGATTGAATGGTATTAGTGTAATTACTCCAAAAGTGAGTCGTTGTTTTGTCATTTACTTTAGTGGAGAGTGGACCTTATAAAAATAGAAGGGGAAGATCGACCGTACTTATGATAGACGCTTTTTGATCTAATACTTTTTTTTTTAGTCTTCTCTTATTAGATTTTCCTATTTAATAGTTTTCCCAAAATAAAAGAATTGATTACTGTTTTAGTGTAATGGCATTCACGTGATTATGGATAAAGTTGAAGGGTGATAATATAATTGAGTGACAAAGAGGGTGATGCATATGAACCAATAAGATTACGAGGGCGTGAGTGTTGGACGAATGGGAGAAAGACACGTGTCGAATACTTTTTTGACTTTATGAAAATTGCCACCGCAACTTGCGGGGTAGATTGGGGATGATCTACGCGCACCACACTATGATGTTATTTTGAAAGCAAAAGTAATTACTTTTTTTAAAAAAAAATTTATAATTAAAATTTTAAAATAAAGGTAATTAAATCTTCTTAATTTTTATACAACAATGGAAATATTTTATTAACGTTTTTGTAACTATAGAGAGTAAATAAACCTGATTTGAATAAATCTTTAGAAGATACATGAGTCAACAATTTTTAGAAAAATCCATGCCTCTCTCTAAAATTGAATTGATTCGGTCAATAAAAATATGTTAACGAATACAACAAGATCCGATCTATTTTTTTCTTTCTATTATGAAGAGTAATACTAGTATTTATTAGAATCGAATTCTGGTAAGAAAAACCGCATAAGTGGAGTATTACCACTTTCTTATATAACAACATTGTGTAGATACAATGTAAACTTGTATTGCTTATTCTTTGACATCCATGCCCCCTTGTTCATTAACCTGCCAACAACCGATGTTTTGAGATATTGAACTTACGTTGCTGACCACAACGTTGTATCTCCAAAAGCCAAATCTTTTTCTACATTGTTCGATGGTTATGAAGAAGTGGTAAGAGCCGATGGTTGCAAACACCTTCCGGATTCCTTCTTGTGGAGAATTTGGAACGTATAATATACAAGAATGCTTATTGAAGTTCTTGCAGCTCACATTCATGTGATATAGTTAGTATAAAATATGATTTAAATACATTTTCGAAGATCTAAGTCAACCAATCTATTGAAAACATTGGTTGATGTACGTGGTTAATATCTAATAAATGATAAAAAGAAGTAATATTTTGAGTCCGATGGATAATACAAAACTGTATAAGTTGTTTAGTGGTAAGTTGGAGCGTAATAGTGTAAAATTGTAAAAAAGAGTAGTACACGAAAGCTATACAAAAAACTGCGAATAACGCTTTTAGTAACGCTTTTGATATTTGCTTTGAGATTGGTAATTGTCAAAGTGGTACACCTCGTACAATAGTAATACGAGATTACCATTCAAAACCTTTTTGTTTTAAATCTGATATCATGTTGATGTTTGCTCATACGTTAAGATATTTGTTTACGTGTGGATTCACCAATAAAATACAACCTAGCTTGTTATAAGATGTAAATAGGCCTGGGCAAATAAACGGAACCGAAAATTTGAAAATAATCGAATAGATACTAAATTTAAATCGAAAGAACCGTAACCGGATCGGTACCGAACCAAAATATGTCGGATAACCGAAAATACCCGAAATACAATTATATTTTCAAAAATATTAGTTATTTATAAACCAAATAATCAAGAATACTTGAAAAAATATATAAAAATAGTAAAAATATTCGAAATAACCAAAAAATATCCAAAAATAACCAAAATATCCGAAAATATAGAAAACAAAATAACCGAATAGATACTAAATTTTAAAACCGAAAGAACTGGAACCGAAACGAAACCGAACCAAAATTTCAAAATACCCGAATGGATGCTAAATTTCAGAACCGAAATAACCGAAACCGAATGGAACCGAACCGATAACCGAACGCCTAGGACTAGATGTAAATAGGGGTGTCAAAATGGGTCAAGATTCATGGGTCAACCCAACTCAACTCAACCCATGAACCCTAATGAGTTGAAAATTTTGACTCAAATGAGTTGATGAATCAAATGAGTTATTGAGTCAAATGGGTTGATGGATCAAATGAGTTGGGTTGTAATGAGTCAATGGTTTCAATGGTTCACCCATTTCATTCATCAATTTTTGTTAAATTGAATCAAACCAAGTCAAATCTCTAAACCGATTTCAATTTGAGTCTAACCAAAATTTCTAAACCGATTGAATATAGTCTTTAATTTTCCCGCCAAAAATATGAATACAAAATTTTTCCATCAAAATATAAATTCGTGATTTTTCCGCCAAAAACGTAAATCCGCAATTTTCCCGCCAAAAACGTAAATCCGTAATTTTCCCGCCAAAAACGTAAATCCGTGATTTTTCCGCCAAATAATAGTGATGTTGATTATTATTATTATTATTATTATTATTATTATTATTATTTTGTATTTTGTGGACCTAATTTTGTTTCAAATAAGGGTAAAATGGTCATTAAAAATTAAAAGAGGGCAAACTTAAAAATGGACTCTCAAAGGGGGCATTTTTGAAAAGGGGTATTGAAAAAAGGGCATTTTTAACAATTTCTCTAAAATGTATTTAAATGAGATTATAACTATTTAATTGAACTGTTGCAATATTTCGTTTAATAGGACTCAGGACCCCCGCGATGTCGCGGGGGAATATATTTCAAAAATCATTTAAAAAAATATCAAACGAAAAAATCATAATGAATTGTAATCATTTTGAATTTTTTTAATAACAAATCAATATATATTTTACAAAAATTATGATAAAGAAAATCCTCACAAACATTTATTAAGTATATTAATATTAGAAAAACAATAATTTGTAACTAAAAAACTATTCCCAAGTGCAAAAAGCATAAACTAATAAACCAAATATTACAATGGTTTGATAAATAAGCAAAAACGTTCAACGTCAAATAAACCAAATGCTATTGTGTTAAATTAAACGGTAACAACAATTCATTTAAATATATTTTAGTATTTAAATATTTTTTAAAAATATGACAAACTTATCCGAGAAACGCAACCGTAGATATCAAATATTCCAAAAACTGCAACGGTTCGTCAATTATACCAAATGTTGCAATAGTTCATCAAATATACTAAAGATAACAATGGTTCGTAACACAAAACCAAAAGTTGCAATAATTCGTCAAATAATCCAAATGTTGAAACAGTTCAATTAAATAGTTACAATCTCATTAAATACATTTTAGTAATTAAAAATTAAGAATTAAAATAATAATTTATGAAAAGTTACACCGAGAGACGCGGCGGTAGATAATTAAATGTTATAGCTATTTATAAAATAAACCAAAAATTGTAATTGTTCGTGAAATAAATTAAATATATAAACCAAATGTTGCAATTGTACGTAAAATAAACTAAATATTGCAATGATTCGAATAAGCGGTTTCAACTGTTTATGAAGAGTTACAATAAAAAACGCAACCGTAGAAAACATTCAGAATGCAATTTATAAAAAAAAACATAACCGTAAAATATATATTTTAATTAATAAAAACATTAACGAAAAGTTGCTATAAAAAGACGCAACCGTTCAGATGTGCAAATGGTATTTATTTGATTGCTATTATATATAGATTATTATTATTATTATTATTATTATCATTATCATTATTATTATTATTATTATTATTATTATATTTTAATTATTAATTTATTTATTACATTAGTAGGTTAATGGGTCAACCCATTTAATCATCTAACCCATCAAATTAAATGAGTTTATGGGTTGACTCAACTCATTTGGCTAAATGAGTTGAGTCTACCCATGAACTCATTTAACTCTAAACTCATTGGATAATGAATTGAGTTGAGTTGGGTTAACCATTTTGTCACCCCTAGATGTAAACATACTACAAAGTTTGGTTGGTTCTTATTGAGATCTTAAACTCATCTATCAAATGTTGTGCTGAGTCGTTGCGAGCTATCTTGCCTTGTTTTAGTTATATATGTTGAGATGTATTTTTGAAATATTTGGAATTTGACAATGTCAGTGAAAATAAGCTACAATTGCTCTTCTCATATTTGAAAATTCTGACCAAGAATGGCGAAGAAGCCGCTCAAGAACTTGATTAGTAATTTAGTACCATTTTTAAAATTTGTTCCTTGTTAAAAATGTGTAATAAAATCATCTATTCAGTGTAATGATGTAATGGAATCAAATTATATCTCAATTTAGTAATAATTTCTAATCGCACGAATCTCTCTGAGACAATAACATCGTCGTTACCATTAAGTACATAATTAAACAATCAATTAATTAAACTATATATATAAAAAAAGATTCTATCTTCAGAGTTCGATGCCTAACTGTGACCATTACATACTACCGTTAGCTTTCTTCTCTAGCCGTCGCTTTCACGCGCCGCCGTGAGAAAATGCAGAAAGGACCGGAGCAACCGAGAGTCACTCTCTACATAATCCTCACCACCGCGTTTCTCTCTCTATGCTTCCTCCTATCTCTCTCTTCCTCTTCACACTCTTCATCTTCATACACCGGACGACCCGAAGATCTACGACCCGACCCGAGACTCTTTCCTTCTTCCTCCAAAATCGCCGCCGATACAGCTCCTCCTTCAATCGCTTACCTTATCTCCGGATCTTCCGGTGATTCGAGACGGATCATTCGTCTTCTCTACGCTACTTACCATCCTCGGAATCGATATCTTCTCCATCTCGATAGCTTAGCGACACAATCTGAACGAGATCGGCTCGCTGTTGCTGTACAAGATGTACCGATCTTTAGAGCTGCAAGGAACGTTGATGTTATTGGGAAGCCTGATTTCGCGTATCAAAGAGGATCGTCTCCAATGGCTTCTACGCTTCATGGTGCTTCGATTCTTCTTAGATTGTCTGGAGCTTGGGATTGGTTTGTTAATCTTAGTGTTGATGATTATCCTCTCGTTACTCAAGATGGTTTGGATTCTTCTTGCAAATTTCTCTTTGATTTTTGTGGTGTTTGTTTTACTGATTCTGAGTTTGATTTGTGTAGAGCTTCTTCATATTATGTCACATTTGCCTAAGGACTTGAACTTTGTGAACCATACTAGCTACATTGGCTGGAAAGAGTAAGATTATGCTTCTCTTTAGTTTCACTTAGAGAGCCTTTGTGTTGTAGGCTGAATCTGATTCCATAGAGCCAAGATTCAGTGTTTTCAGGATCAATGTAGTATTTGAGTAATTTCTCTTGGTTTCTCGTAGGTCAAGAAGGTTGAAGCCAGTTATTGTTGATCCAGGGCTCTATCTTGTGGAGAAAACCGATATGTTCTTTGCTTCGCAGAAACGAGAGTTGCCTAAGGCTTTCAAGTTATTTTCAGGTATACGTTTCCCACCATTTCCTGTTCTCTGCACTGCTCTGTGGATTATTGCTAAACAATCACCTTGTCTGTTCTTTACCATATTTAGTATGTTGTGCAATCAATTGGATTGATTAACATTGGTTTGTTCGCAAACTTCATATATAAAGTCACAACTGACATGATATTATGGAAGTTTGCTTTTTCGTAATTATGATGTTCTGTAGACACTGAATCCTTTTTTTTTACTTGGGTTAGCAGTTTGTTCGCACCATTTCATGATATGGTAGGTAGACACGTGATAGTAGATGGTAGAAATAGTTGATAAGTGTAGGTGAAAGCTTTATAACTGTAAACCTGCTTAGAAGAAAATAGACTACATGATGTCTTGTTTATCAGTTGTGCTATTAGCTGCTTAAGCAGATAAGTAAGGAAAGAGAAGCCCGAGTCTAGAAATTGCTTACAATGGTTCTCATTACTGTGGCATTTTGTTGGTTCTTTAACAAAATAGTTCTCCTGTTGAATAGCATAATTAGGAGAAAGAAATCTTTGGAGGGGAATTAGGAAAAAGAACTAACATAGCTGAAAAGAAGGGTTTGAGGTAATGTTATATGTCTTTGATAATTAAACTAAATGCGATAATCTCTTTTTGGCAGGTCCATCTTTCTCCATCTTAAGCCGTAATTTCATGGAGCACTGTGTCTTAGGCACTGACAACTTCCCTCGGACTCTACTCATGTACTTGTCCAACACACCTGATTCCCTCTCTAACTACTTCCCAACTATCCTCTGCAACTCAAATCTCTTCAAAAAGACCATCATCAACAACAACTTACTCTACCTAGCTTCTAACGACACTTCTAAAGAAAGATACCATCAGCTTGATCACAAAGAGTTCACAGAAATGGTTGAATCCGGAGCAGCATTTGCAAGAGGATTCAGGTACGATGACACTGTCCTTGATCGCATCGATCATGAACTTCTGGGACGCAGACCTGGTGAAGTTGTGCCAGGTGGTTGGTGTTTAGGAGATTCTGGTAAAAACCACAGCTCGTGTTCTGTCTGGGGTGACTCGGGTATTCTAAGACCCGGTTCTGGTTCCGATAGGCTCGAGAGACGAATTGTCGAGCTATTATCAAACGATTGGTTCAGATCGCACCAATGTGTACCCGAGTGATCCTCATGGCTTGTCCAATAGAGTATATAGTTGTCCAACACGAAGAAGATAACGGTAATTTTATGCTTCTGTATCTTTAGAGAGAGTTCCACTTCCACATTGTAATCTATGACTTTGAGAGTGTTTGTTCCATTGTTGTAAAAGAAACATCTCAAAGCAAAGAAATGAAACGACTCGGTTCATTAATTTATTTGGTTAAAGTCTTAACCGGTATAAATCCCGGTTTTTATCTAATTCTAAACCAAACCGTGTTTCTTATATATTTGAATCCATGATTCACGCACAACTGGTTAAAGCATAAATGGAATCAAAATCAGAGCAAAACGAGTGGAGCTCCGGCGTGTGGGCTCACTTAACCGCCGTCCGGCAACAATCGCCGCTAGTTCAGTGCATCACCAACTTCGTCTCCATGGATCTCGTCGCCAACACGCTTCTATCCGCCGGTGCATCTCCGGCTATGGTCCATTCCGTCGTTGAGATTCCTGATTTCACTCCTCATATTCACGCGCTCTGCGTCAACGTTGGAACACTTACACCTGACTGGCTTCCGTCGATGAAAGCTGCCGCCGAACTCGCTTCTAAGCTCGGAAAGCCTTGGGTTCTCGATCCCGCCGCCGTGAGCTGCTCCGGATTCCGATTAAAAGCGTGTCTAGAGCTCGTGAAGCTAAAACCTACTGTAATCAAAGGAAACGGTTCTGAGATTATTGCTCTCTCCTCTGCTTCACGTGGACACACTAAGGTATACTTGGTAACTTCAAATTCTATTGAGATTCAAAACGATTCAAGAATTTTCGTTATGAGAGGTTTTGATGACTCTGTAGTGTAGTGGCTGAAGAAATTGAATTCTAGTATGTAGTTCTTTTGTTCAATTCACTTCGAAGATTGTTCATCAGAAAATTTTCATGAAGTTTTTTTTTGCTAATGTATGAGTTGTTTTTGTTAGGGTGCTGATAGCTCACATGAATCTACTGACGCTATAGAAGCTGCAAAGTCATTAGCTCTGTCAAGTGGTGCTGTTGTTGCAGTGTCCGGAGCTGTTGATATCGTTACTGATGGGAAACAGGTTATTGGTGTTCACAACGGGACGAAGATGATGCAAAAGATCACTGCAACTGGTTGTTCTCTTGCTGGTTTGGTTGCTGCGTTTCTTGCTATTGATTCATCACGGGCTCTGGAAGCTACGGTTTCTGCTATGTCGGTCTTTGGTATCGCAGGTGAGTTGGGTGAAGCGATGGCAAATGGTCCAGGTTCATTGAGAATGCATTTGATAGATTCTCTTTATGGGTTGGATGAAACCACAGTGCTTAAACGTGTGAATATCACCAGGTTGGGTTGATGTACATGAATCTTTTTCTTGGAATAAAGTTTCTTAAGATATCTCTGCAACGTCCTTGATCGTTGTATATCGTTCAGCTCTAGGTTATGGTAGATAGGACTCTCATGGTTATATACTTTTGACTGAGTTTTATCGCGTTGTTTATCCTTGGATTAGAGTTTAATTTGGGGTTGCTGTGTCAAAACCTTGAGTAATAAGTGGCAGAATTCTTTTTGTGGTCACCATCTTAGGCTTTGGGCAATGTTCAAAATACACTTTTAACAACTTTAGAAGCTTCAGGGCTTTCTATGATTTGCTTTCAATCAATAACTGTTACATACAACAAAAAAAAGAACATTCACACGCACACATACACATGCAGAAGTTTAAATGGGACGGCTCTTTTTGTGTTGTTTTAGTACTTCAGATGGACAATGATCCTCAGCAAAGACTCTGCTCCATCCACTACATGCTGACCTGATGGAATCAATGGTCTGACCTCTGCAAACCCACAAGCGTTCTTGAACCTACCTGTTCCTCCAGTCACTGATAGATGCGACATGGCACTTCCGATCCTGTAAATTCCGTAGAAGTTGAGGTTGTCATTGTACTCGCCACCTTCAAGCATAGCTGTGAAAGCCATCATCTGTGTGCTTCCATCTGCAGAACTTGCAACATAAACTCCTTGAGCCTTACCAAGAGGCTGCGAACCCAAGTCAGGACCAGATGTGAGTATGTCATCGATCACGGTAATGGTACCAAACCCGAGACTCAGACCATCAGGACCCAACTGAGTCTGAATCCCATTCAGGTTCTGACCAGAGTAGGCTGTACCAGACAAGCCTGTCCCAAGAGGTACACCGTTGATGCCGTTAACCGTTGGGAGTGCGCCGTTTGCATTTGGTATGGCTATACCGTTTTCAGGAGGAGTGAAACCAATCTGCTTAGCAAACGGAACTTGACCGTTGTAAATGTTCCCGAGCAAACCTGTGATCGGCCTTGCCGTGGGGCTGCTTCCTCCAAGTAAATCATGCATGTAGAGTTCGAAAATAGGGTCTTCAGGTGAAGGATCAAGTGCTGCTACAAACACAGCAATTGTGAACAAGATTACAGTTAAAAGCAAGAAAGGTGATTGCTTAATCATCATTGCAATGTGGAAAGGAGATTTTGAACTGATTGAGATTGTTTGATGAATATGTGAGATGTGTGCAATGGTGTTTAAATAGAGAGGTGTGGATTGTGAAGTTGTTGCTATCTCTGATTTTGTGTAGTTGTTCAAATGGGTTCTTTATATCTGTGTAATCTGTTTTCTTCACAAAAATATGTGAAAGTCCAAAAATAATAACGTCAGAGATTGATAGAATACTTATATATGTACCAATTAGCGTCTTTAATTTAGTGGTTACCAAAACATTTTTATTAAAATTTATACTAGTTGTAGCTGAATTTGGTGGTTTAGGTTGAATAATTAGTTCATAATGAGAAAAAAAAAAAATTAACATTACAAAACTCTTTTAGTCTTTTTTGTTGTTTTGGTCAAGATACTAAAATCCTAAACACGAATTGTTTATTATTATTCCACCGTTATTTATTTATATAAAAATACAAATTAATAATCATATTAAAATGAAAAGTAATAATAATCGTTTACTTTGTGCGCCAATGCAATCTGAGAAAATGGCTTACGAGTAAAAAGATTTGCAATTAGCACAACATTTCCATTTTGCGAAACCCTAAATTCCCAAATGTCCTTCGCCGAGGAATTTGAAGCTAGTAAGCAATCGCTATCTTCCTCTAATCGTGTTTATTCCTTCCAGTGATCAACGAATCGTGAAATTTCTCGCCTTATTACGTTAGCTTCCCAAGTTGTTATAGATTGATCAAGCTTTGTTGCAAGAGAGTGATTCACTAATTTTGCGTTGTGGTTACCTCTAACTTAGATTGATTTGTGTGTTTTCTCGCTTGATCTTGTACTAATTTTACTTACAAGAACCAAACTGTTCGCCCGAACTTGCCTTTACCACATTATTGTATTGAATCAGGAATGTCTGAATTATGTTTTGGGTTTCTTTATGCTTGAAATGTAGCATAGCATATCGATGACTGTAACTAACTGTCGGTTAATTCATTGTTAGTGTGAAATTATCCTGTTGTTGTTATCTAGCATGATCAGTTTTTGTGGCAATGTATTTCTGTATCATAGTGTGCATTGTGTGTTTTGGTTCTTGGTTTTGTTATTTGCATTTCTGTCATGGTTTACTCTTCCTTTTGATATCAGACGATATTTGGCCTCGTTCGTTCCACAATAACGAAGCGACTCTTTCTTGATATATTTGTGCAGATCTTGTTTCGTTGGCCCATGTTTTGCAGAAGAAATATGCGCTCCTCCGTGATTTGGATAAAAGTTTGCAAGGTAACAAATCATGTCAATCGTGTATACAGTAGATTAAAGCATCATTGTTGTCATCATGTATCCTTTTTTAAGTGAGTAACAACTTATTCTTGATTAGTAGGGTACCGCAGAGATGATCTTTAGTCATTTCACTAAACCCATTTCTTTGAAATTCATGCTCTGCATAGTTTGTTGTTTTCGGATGAGTTATGTTAGAGATGAGTTGTTAGTGTGTTTTAGTATAAAGTAAGACTCTGTAAAGCATCTATATATGCCCTTTGTTTATTTGTTATGTGGATTGCTTTCATCTTTGTTTGTGTATTTTATGTTTGAAGCAGAAAATCAAAGACAAAATGAACAAAGATGTGAAAAAGAAATAGAGGATATAAGAAAGGGAAGAGCTGGAAATATCACACCCAATACCTCTCTTACTCAATTCTCAGAGGAAGCACTTGATGAACAGAAACACAGCGTCCGGATCGCTGATGAGAAAGTTGCACTGGCTATGCAGGCATATGATCTGGTATGCTTCTGAAAGTTCTTTCGCTGTCTTCTTAAGAGGACACTTCTCTGTTATAGTTTCTGACTTCGGATTTGTGTAGCTTAAGTTTGCAGTTTGGTTTAACCTTGTGGAATATTTGATATTCCTTAAAAGTCATTATTTTTCAGATAATATATTGCTTCAGGTGGATATGCATGTTCAACAACTTGACCAGTATATGAAAAAATCCGAGGAGATCCGCAAAGGTCATTATTTGGCTTGCTGTTATTCTTTTGTTTTAATTATTTTGAAGCTTGAGCTTCTCTCTTATCTTACTGAGTAATAAACATAAAACGGTGTGGTTTCTATCAGAGAAAGAGGCTGCTGCTGCTGCATTAGAACTGGAGAACAACGGGAAAGCCGGGAATGCTGGTGAAGGTGGAAGAGGAGGGCGAAAGAAGTAGGTGGCTTTTAGCCTCATCTTTTATATCATAGCATATGTTGCTCAATCAATTACATCGCCTAAATCTCAGCAACATAAGCTTAGATCCACTGAAACCATTGTCATTGTGAAATATGAAGTTAGGTCCAATGAAACCATCCATTTATGTTGTGACAGGACAAGGCTAGCAACAGCAGCGTCAACAGCAGCAGCATCAACTGGGATGACTTCAAGTAATATGGATTTGGATCTGCCTGTGGATCCAAACGAACCAACTTACTGCATCTGCAACCAAGTTAGCTATGGCGAGATGGTTGCGTGTGATAACAATGAGGTATGGTTTCTTGAAACTAATGTCTCTTTTCACATCGTGAGACACTCTTTGAGACTGAAAATAAAATTCAATGCAGTGCAAGATTGAGTGGTTCCATTTCGGTTGCGTCGGTCTGAAAGAACAACCCAAGGGGAAATGGTACTGCCCGGATTGTGCTACAGTCAAAAAGAGCAGGAAAGGTCGATGATTTCAATCTTCACGTCTGCTATAATCCAAACGTATCTACTGTAATCCAAACAGTTTAGTATATCAAACCATGTAAGATGTTGCCATATTAACTATGGATGGTAGAAATCTTGTTTTGTTCTTAAGCTCTTTTGTTTGACAAAATTAGTAAATGACTCTGGGGTACTGATACATCTATCAATTCAGAAGCGAAGAAGCCATTTAATGAAGGTAATCATAACGATACTTATAGAAAAAAATATGATGCTTATGGTCTAAATTTTTTCCAAGTGTGCTGTTTATTGTGAAACCAGTGATTGGGCAACAAAATCAAAGACAAAGACTCCTAAAAGAATCGCATCTCTTTTCTTAAGGTAAGATAATTGGTGAAAGAGAGAGAGTTTAGTGATTATAGTCCATGCCTCCCACATTGCCTCCTGCTGACTCGCCTTTGTCTTTTGGGAAGCTTAAACAACACCAGAGCGGTCCTGCTCACTTTCAGAGGGTCTATCCACCAAATCCGTTCTGATCATGATCACTTTCATAGGGGTCTATGGTACCAGCTATTACCATATCCACATATTCACCTAGTTTTCATCAAGAGTTAGCTAAAGACAATCTTCAGATAGATCAAAAGTGAAGTGATGTTGGATGTGAACTCAACTAAACTTTTAGCTGCACCATAACCGAGGTCCAGGTTATCTTGCTCAAAGAGCTTGCCAACAGAAGCAGCACCTTCAAGTATGAAGAAATTGTGTGAACAAGAGTCTGGCATACCAAAACCCATTAATCATTAGATCAGATGGTCTTCATTTTAGATAATTGCCAACCTTCTATGTGTTTTGAATGATCTGCATCTTTTGGTCAAAGTTGGCTGTGTTAAGCTTTTCCAACTCCTTTGCTGCATATCATCCGCACCTCTACTTTCTTTAGCACTTCCAACAACCAAATTCAAGGTGGTAGAAACCTCTTACCACCAAATAGAGAATGGGTGTTACAGTGACAACCATTCATTCTCAACGACTGGCCTTTTCTCCACACACACCGGCAGAAGCCACTGACTTTTCCAGTGGCCACTACCAATAATCCTTGCAAGAACAAGCACCATCCTTAAAATGATGGAACCGATTTGTATCTCTCACAATGATTTCCCTCCCAACCGCCTTTGACGCCAACTTGATTGCTGAATGGCAATCCCCACAAACCCGGATGTTTTTCTTGATGTGTATGGTTGATCCAGGAGGGGTGTTGAGAAGCGCAAATGCCAAAGCAATTTTCTCACTATGATATTGTAAATTCACTTCCCTCTCCTGTTGATCCACATGGACTATTACATGGCTAGTGTCGGGCACATATCCCAACTCCTTGATCTTTGCTAAAACCTCTTCCCACTTCCGAGCAATCTCCTCCCTCTGTGGATGACGTTCATCATTTGCCACAAACATATGGATTGCATTCTCAATCTCTACCCAACTGCAAGCAGGTTCCTTCTTCACTCCACTTTCCTTCATCTTCTTTCTCACTCTCGCAGCATCGTTCCATCTGCCACCTGATGCATAGATGTTATATAGTATTACATGGGGACCAGGGTCGTCTGGGTCAAGTTCAAATACATGCTCAGCGGCATAAGCTCCCAATTCCGTATTTTTATGCATTCTACAAGCATTAAGCAGAGCTTTCCAGATGGCTGCAGTGGGTTCTATTGGCATTTCTTCGATGAATCTCAGTGCCCTATTAAGATCACCGGCTCGCCCAAGAAGATCTACGACTGTGACGTAGTGCCAAGCCTCGGGTACTATCCCATCTTTCTTCATCAATTCATAGTAATGCCATCCTTCATCAAGAAGACCAGAATGGCTGCAAGCTGTAAGCACTGAGAGAAACGAGATTTCATTGGGACGAATCCCGCCCTTCCTCATTTCCTCAAACCAGCACACTGCTTCTTTTCCAAATCCATGTTGGGCATAAGCAGTCAGCAGCGAGTTCCAAGACACCACATCCCTTTTAGCCAATCTATCGAATATTTTCCTCGCGTCATGGATGCTTCCTGATTTCGCATACATGTCAAGAAGAGTGTTTCCCGCAAAAGCCACAAGCTTTTCACCGGATTTAATCATATACGCGTGCACCCATTTCCCTTGCTCCAAGAACCCAGTACTGGAGCAAGCACCAAAGAGGCTAGCATACGAGAAATGGGAAGGTCTAAAACCCTCTCTAAGCATCCCTTGAAAAATCTCAAGAGCCTTCTCTGTACCACATCTCCTAGCATGACCAGCAATCAGCGCATTCCAAGAAACATCATTCCTGCTCTCAAGCGCATCAAAAACCAACTGTGCATCATCCATAAGACCATAGCGAGTGTACAAATCAAGAAGAGCACTACCAACATGAACATTCGAATCAAAACCACACTTAACACAAAACCCATGAAGTTGATGACCACAACATCCTCTCCTCTCAGCTGCAGCAGCTTTGATCACACTAGATAAAGTGAACTCATTAGGACTAAATCCAAATCTCAGCATCTGATTAAACAATAGTAACGCATCACAAGGTCGATCATGCTGGGAGTAACCAGAAATCAAAGTAGTCCAAGTGACAAAATCTCTCTGAGGCATTTTGTCGAACACTTTACGAGCTTCCTCCAAACTTCCGCATTTCGCATACATATTGAGAAGAGTGTTGTACATAACGAGATCATGACGAAAGATAGATTGAATAAGATGACCATGAACGATCCTTCCCTGAGTGAGTAACTTAAAGACTGTACATTTCTTCAACAGCGTGTTGTAGAAACGTCTATCGACGGGAATATAACTGCTCTCGAGACCATTCGATGAGAACAGTAAAGATTCTTCATCGGAATCTTCAGATAACGGTGCCGGAAGAGAATGTAGACGCCGAGATAGCTTCAGCTGGGAGAGGAGACGAGACGGGATACGCAAGGCCATGGTCGACAACATCAGAGATGCTAACCGGAGAGGAATTATAACCGAATTTTTTTGGTTATCTTCGGTTAGTGTTAATATGTTTGACTATTGATATCAAATAACCGGAATAGAATTCCGTTCGACTTCATGGTAATTTGGATAATTCAGATTTTGCGGTTTTAGTTTCTTTGGTTAATTTCATGAAACTGTTGCAGGACAATCACTGTTGCTTAATTTTGCTAAATCTTGGTTTAGTTACGATGAAATTTGGGTAAAATATTATAATTTGAAGGGTCGGTTTATTGTTGGAGTACCAGACCTGAACCAGAAGTAATGCAAAACAGAAATGATGCCTTAGAAAACTTTGTTGATGCTAATAGTCTAATAACATTGCCAAGTGTGCTCTGTTTATTGTAAAACTTTTGAGGTTATTGAGCAACAACGACAAAGAAAAAGACTAGACTCCTAAAAGAATCGTATCTCTCTTCTCAAGTTAAGATATGGTGGAAAAAAAAGACAGAATTTAGTGGATCTAGTAGTCCATGCCTCCCATTCCACCCATGCCTGCTCCGGCTCCTCCTGACTCGTTTTCGTCTTTCGGAAGCTCAACCACTACAGCTTCAGTTGTCGTCAACAAAGATGACACACTGACAATGAAAAAAGCAAGTATTTAGACTCATATATCAGGGTCGAATAAAGAACATTGTTAAGTTTTCGCTTTTGATTACCTCGCAGCATCAACCAGAGCTGTCCTGATTACTTTCAGAGGGTCTATGATACCGGACTTCACCATATCCACATATTCACCTATAGTTTTTTCTCCACAGTTAGCTAAATACAATCTTCAGATAGAACAAAAGTGGAGTGATGATGGTTAGTGAAACTCACCTTTAGCAGCATCATAACCGAGGTCCGGGTTATCTTGCTCCAAGAGCTTGCCAACTATAACAGCACCTTCAACTCCAGCATTTGAAGCGATCGTGTAAACAGGAGTCTGGTAAACCAAAATCCGTTAAACAACCTTTTTGTTAAGATTCATCAGATTATGTGGTCTTGGATTTGAGAATTACTAACCTTCAATGCGTTCTGAATGATCTGCACACCAATCTTCTGGTCAAAGTTGGCTGTTGGAAGTTTTTCCAACTCTCTTGCTGCGTATAGAAGAGCCACACCTCCTCCTGCAAGTGTTTTGATTTGTTACTTTAGCAAACTTTTTAGCTTTATGTCAAAGAGTGTTCCTCACTGGTGGAGGAGACATACCTGGTAAAATACCCTCTTCAACAGCTGCTTTAGTGGCATTCAAAGCATCTGTCACTCTGTCTTTCTTCTCACCAACTTCAGCTTCACTTGCTCCTCCAATCTAAACACAATTAGCTCCAGAATTTATAACAAGATACTTACAAACCAGGCTGCTATGATTCTGGGACTACCAAAACATTTTAACGTGGACTAACCTTCAAAACTGCAACACCTCCAGAGAGCTTAGCCAACCTTTCTTGCAGTTTTTCCTTGTCATAATCTGAGGTGCTCAGTTCAATTGCTGATCTAATCTGTTAGTTGCAACACCAAGCAATTAGAACGATAACTATTTTACATCTTCAATTCAATTGATAAACTTGCATACACTTCATAATTTCTTGCATGCAAATTCTACAAACTAATTTATCAGGGTATAAGGTTAAAAATTACCTGTTCACATCTTTCTTCAATGCCTTTCTTGTCGCCAGCCCCATCAAGAATAACAGTGTCGTCCTTGGAGACTGTAACCTATACAAATAGCCAGACAGGTCTCAACTACACTTACAATTCAACAAGGATATGCTGATAATGTAATAGTCAATCTAACTTCATACTAAGAGCCACCATGTCCTATGTCAGTTAAGGTTTCAAAGGCTACCTTTTTGCAGGTTCCTAGCATGCCCAGGTCCACCTTCTCCAGATTCATGCCAAGCTCATCTGTGATAACCTGTATCAAACCAAGTCAATAATATTCCATTGTAGGTAAGGTTCACAAGACTGACACATTGCACAACAAATGTACTACCTCTCCACCGGTAAGGGCAGCAAGGTCTTGCAAATTGGCCTTCCTATTCTCTCCAAATCCAGGGGCCTTGATGGCACAGACCTGTAGGGAGGAAACTATTAATCTCAAAGCAAAGAAGATCATCCCTAAAAATCAGGAGACAGTAGTAAAAGCTTTCAGTTGTTCAAACCTTGATTCCGGCACGGAGCTTGTTAAGGATAAGAGTTGCAAGAGCATCACTTTCCACATCTTCAGACACAATCAACAGTGGCCTTTGCCTCTGTAAGATTTTATTTGGACAGCAGAAACCACATTAGACGCCTTTCACACAGCATTTTCATGAGAAAATGATTCTAAATTTACGATGATGATAAAGGAGACATACCTTCAGAGCCAGCTCCAACACTTTCACTATAGAGTTGATGCTTGAGATCTTCTTTTCATGGATAAGAATGAGAGGGTCGTCTAGTTCCTACATATATTGAATTCCTATTCAGTAACTTCTATAATTGATTTGACACATCAAGAAACCTAATTGAGCAGGGAGTAAAAAACTTACACATTTCTGGGTTTTTTGATTCGTGATAAAGTAAGGGGACGTATAACCTCTGTCTAATTTCATCCCCTCTACAACTTCCAACTCGTTAAACAATGTCTTCCCATCCTGCAATGCATTTCACCCACGTAAGAATTATGGTTTGACCAATATATAAGTAGCAACATAAGCAATCATTGCGATTCACTTACTTGGATTGTGATTACACCTTCTTTGCCAACCTTCTCCATAGCCTTTGCAATAAGTTCACCAATTTCCCTCTCTCCATTTGCAGAAATGGTCCCAACCTGTGCAATTTCTTCGGATGTGCTGATCATCCTAGCCCTACTTTTAAGGTTTGTCACCACAGCATCAACTGCCATGGAAATACCTCGTCGCAAGTCCATTGCATTCATTCCTGCGGCAACAGATTTGCATCCTTCGGTAAATATAGCCCGGGTGAGTACCGTAGCACAAGTAGTACCTGCAGGACAAGTTTTGGTAAATAGTCTTGCAACGCTTTTACAACTATGAACCGCATAACCAATCAAAGTGAAATATCTTACCATCACCAGCAACATCATTAGTAGCATTTGCAACCTGCTTCACAAGACTAGCACCAACGTTCTTAATTTTGTCTTTGAACTCAATACTTTTGGCAACAGTAACACCATCTTTTGTCACTTTAGGAGCACCCCAACTTTGCTCAATCACAACATTACGTCCCTTCCACATTAGAACCACAGATAGCAGAAAGTCTTAGTCCAAATTCGATACAGAATAAACAAGTCACCCAAATCACATGCTAAGGAAACCTCTAGCCAAATCAAGCCTAAATCAAATCAAATTGTGTAGAAGAAAGAGAGTACCTTTGGACCCATGGTGACTTTAACAGCATCGGCAAGATCTTCAACACCCTTAAGCATCAAAGCTCGAGCTTCAACACCAAACTTAATTTCTTTCGCTGCATAGTTCCTGCTCCAGCTCATTCTGCTGGAAACCTGGCGAGCGTTTTGAGCAATCCTGACAACAGAGAACAAAAAGAAACCATTTTTATTATCAAAATCGAGAAAAAGCTAGTAGATTTAGAGAGCCCAGATGAATTGAAGGAGACTAGATCAAAACCCAAATCGATTTAATTCCTCATTTGCTTCCATTGTTAAGTAAACCCATCAGAAAACTGAATCAAAAAGACGAAGAAAGTGAGTTCCTTTACCTTGCCTTGGAGGCGAGGTTAGAAGCGAAACGATACATAGTGACTGAAAAGGAGGAAGATTAACGATGAAGAAGATGGCGAGGAAGAGATGATTCTGATGAGCGAGTTAGATCAATGAGAATAGGCGGAAGGAGAGATGAAGAGTGGAGGACTTAATAAGCGAAGGGAGAAGAGTCTAGAAGCAGCTGCTACTTACTACTATATGAGCCTTTTAGGGTTTTAGGCCTCTTTAGGGTTTAACTTAATTTCAAACTTAAATCGTTAATTTCATTTTCCAATTTAATTAATTTCTGGAATTTTTTGCCCCCAAAATTTTTTAGGATTTTCTCATCTTTTGTGAAACAAGCATTTGTGATTTTGATACATGTCAAATTTTATATCGGTTAGGCTAAATAATCTTGAAAATCGAACCGAACTAAACGGAATCAACAGTAATTAAATGATTCGTTTTGGATTGATTACACCTAAAACCCTCATTAAATTAAATTACTATACACTATTAAAAAAGTTTTTAGTTTATGTTTGGTTCAATTCTACAGATCGGTTTTTAGAGCTCTTAATATTGAATTTGAGATAATCTTTTGGTATTACTTTGGTCGTTTTAAAAGAGTTATATCTTTGTGCACACAAAAAAAAAAAAGAGAGTTATATCTACTTATACTAAGTACACTAGAGCGGAAAATCAATTAAAATTTTAAAACCTATCGATACAATGCACTTGAATGTTTTCTTTTATTTTCTTTACTAGGGCAGAAACCAGGCTACGCCCGGATAAACATTTAACAATTTAGTTAATTCAATATTAATTATATTTTAAGTTTCTTTGGTATCTATGCAAAAAATTTTATATGATGTATATAACGTTTAAACCCTAAATAAATCTATATGGTAGTACTACTTGAATCTAATATCGATTTAAAATCTTAAACCTTGAGCTGGATTTTGGTAAAGAAATCATGTCTTTATCATGTGCTAATTAGTCATGTCTTTATTTCTTTCCATCTTTACTCACGGTGAAGAATGAGAAACATATTACAATTTCTCCACAAGTTTAGGTGTCATTACAACCAAGAATAGTCATAACTTCGAGATCCTACACAAAGACGAAGTTTTCCACTCAACAAAATTTCCAAAGCTTAAACCATAAGTTCATTCGTGTGAAATTGTTCACAATTTTGTTTAGGACTTTGAATCTCATAGAACACACCAATATTCTAATGATATCTTTATGATTAGCTCTATGATTCGTACATCTCTATGCTTTTGTTCTAGATTTAAACGTGGGTCCTTATCTTCCACACAATGCACATATGTCTCTGAATTAACCTTAATAAAAGAAAGATGGTTGTTATTTATACTACATAAACTATTATTCTCGATCATAAGATCTCTTGCTCACGTTTTTTTTGTTCTTCAATGGTTTACTATTTGAGCACATCCATGACCTTCTTCTATTATTCTAGTTCCAGTGTGGCTTGAATCCTACGTTTCGTTTCAGAGACAGGCAGAACAAAACATATTTAAAAGTTTGAATAAGAAGATCAGACATAATCATTTAAACGTAAATCATATTATAACTTTTATTCATGACGAATAATACTTTAAGTAAGATCTAAACAGAGCAAATAAGCGAAACTGAAAAATGATGAGTTGGAGGGCACTTTTGAGGAAGATGACATTTTGAACTTTGAAATACACCAACACCTTCAACATAATGCTCTGTGCGAATATAATAGCAGAGCTTAATCCATATATCCCAATTTGTAGTCGTAGTGAAGAATTTCTCACCTGTAAGAAGGAGAAATTAAGGTCAGAGAGAGGGAAGAATCAGAGGTCAAATCACCTTTGACGTTTTGACATTTTTTCAGTAGTTAGCTAGATTCGATTCATTTATCATCACTTTTTGTGGTTTTCCATTTCATTGCAATAAGTGGACTGCAGTCCAGCTTCCTTGTTGTTGGAGAGAGTGAGAGATACACAGAGAGTCAAATCCTGATCACAAAGAGCTATATGTTGTACACCAAATATTTGGTAGAAGTAACTGATCATGTAAATAGTCATGCTGTATAAGCCAACCACAAAATTAACAAATACAAACCACACAACAATGAATAAGCTAAGGGGGTCAATGATTCACTTACACCATGTATCGTTAATATGCTTTTTCTTTCGATGCTTTCCCCATGGATAAGTGCCTTCAATATATGGAAGCTTGAACATCAAATTTCAACCTCGTGATTTTTATCCAGGTCTCCTCGGTAAAAATCATTTGCTTGGAAGTGCTTGAGTAAATCTGTTTTTTTTTTTTTTTTTTTTTTTGGTATAATCAGTCACTGGAATTGGAAGATGAAACAAATATCTTTCTTAAGATTTGTTAGGAATTGAGAATTTAATACAGGTTGAGGTATAAAGGGGTAAAGGGAGAAGAAACGATTCAGCTTTGGTTCTATTAAAAGTTTGTGTTTAGGATTTGAGATTGCTAACGTGTAAAGTTGCATAGGTGAGAAATTATGGATGACGTGGCAGCTATAGAAATCTTCATATGTTTTGTAATTTTTTCCCGATGCTGACGTGGCGTATGGATAGAGTATTTAAAATTTGCTGATGTGGACACATTGAGAAGCTTCAATGAGCTTATTTTATTAGTAAGAGATCCTATGTGAAATTGATTTACAAACAAATGATTAAATACGCAAAGATAAAAAACGGTTAATATGAAATGAAACAATCCAAACTTAAAACCAAACTAAACCCTATATTAAGCATTGGTTTACAAACAAATGCTTAAATACGCAAAGATAAAAAACGGTTAATATGAAATGAAACAATCCAAACTTAAAACCAAACTAAACCCTATATTAAACACCTAGATGATACCAAAAAGGTTGACCTTGCTTCAATTTCTTTTCTTCATTAATTTGCTTCTGTAGTTGTCCTAAAAGTATAGGAATATGAAGCTTCTATTGATATTAAAATTTGTCAATTTCTCTCTTTAAAAACATGAGTAGTTTGGTGGGCTGTCGTCATGTTCCACGGGCCACATTGATGTTCTTATTTATTTTCTTTTCATGTCATATGTGATTATGTGTCCATCACGACTCATTTCTCTCAATTTTTTGTTTCCATTTGTTAATTATACAAGCTCAACGTTCTCTCTTTATTAAAAAAAAAAAAACAAGTGAAAAATACAATAAATTATGAACAAATACACACACTCAATACATTTTTTTATTTTTTGCCTACATGAAATCTAAGGCCATCTACAATGGGAGAACATGGGCCACGTTCTTAACATTAAAATAATAAGAAAAGTTTAGAACAGTCGGCTTGGATCACATTGGATAGTTCTTGAGCAAGGTCTGTTCTTCTCCCCACAAGATCTTTTACATTATTTTAATACTTTATTTAACAACTTTTATTATTTTAAAAACCTTTAGAACACATGTCATGTTCTCCCATTGTAGATGGCCTAACCAAACAATGAGTGAACGTTAAAAAAAAAAAGTGAAAAAATAACGAGTAAAAACGTTGGGAAAAAAAAGAAGAAGGAAGGAATGTTAATCAGAAAAAAGAGATCTGACGAACAAAGGAATTCCAAAATTAATATTTGAACTTCGTCCTCTCCTTCAGATCGAAAACCCTAATTTTGATTTCTTTGTTTTTACAATTCCATCGATTTTTGAACTTGTTTTCTCGAGATCTCCCCCTCTGTTTTCCTCCACCCCAAAATTTCAACAATATATTCTCGATCTTTGCGTCAGGATCTGGGCTCTTTGGATTTGAGTTCCTCATTCACAATCATAACAACGGCGATTTCGGGAATGGCTTGGGTTAATGGATTCAATGGTAATTAAAAAACATTGATTTGAAGAGGGAACATTTCCCTCTGCGAGATTCGAGTATTTTCAATGGCATCAGCTACTAGTTCCCGGAGGCAAGGGGATGCTGAAGCTGGACGCCGTAAGGTAGATCATCATCATCATTATCATACCCTTTTGTTTGATTATCTTGTTACTTTGAATTTGCCCCCTAAAATTTGTCGGTACTGAGTCAATTGATCTTCTCCTTTCTGGGTTTATATTGGAATTGAGATTGATGTTCTAACGCATGCAATCAGAATTGAGATTTATTCCACAAAAAAATTGTTCTTTAGATGAATGCCTAAAATTGTGTGTTCTGTATTGTTTGATTTCTGGATTTCAGTTTGAGCAGTTTCGTAAAAAAAAAGAAGCAGAACGAGCTAAAAAGGCATCAAAGAGTAGTACCACACAGCCTGTTGTTGATAATAGCCAACAAAGTGTCACAGATTCAGATGGAGTTGTTGCATCTATGTCTAATGGACCTGTCAACCAATCTGCTGAAACTTCTTCAAATGAAACGCATACCAAATCCTCGTTTTCTGGAGATGTATATAATTTATCGTTTTCGAATATAGCACCGAATGATGGAAGCAAAGAAAGAAGTCAACAAGATGATGGGCAGGAATCAGTGGGCAAAGTTGATTTTTCTAATAGCTTAGAGTTGATAGGTTCCTCTAAGGACTTAACAGTGAATACTAGGCCTGAAGATGTACCTTATAGCAATATAGACAAGCAATCGAGTGAAAGTTTTGGTCTTGCTTCTACTCTAAGACAAAGTGATGGTGTTCCCAAAGACACATCTCCTTTTTCTGGAACCTCAATGCAAATGGACGGTTTCGTTCACGGCAGTGGATTATTCTCATCTAGAAAAGGTACGTGACTATCATATGAGGTTGATGTAGTAATGTATTTTGTCCTACCCCTTCTTCTTTTCAGCTCCTTTAAGGGGAACAACCTAATTAACCATTCCGGTTTTTCTTGCTAGACTCTCTACAACCTACTACCAGGATGGCAGGGTCTTTTCACGAAGTTGCCAAAAACCAACAGGGAAGTGGTGAACTAGGAGGAGGTAGCATTGTGCAGAAGCCAACTTTTTCTAGCAGTTATTTGTTTAGTTCTCCAGTCACATCATCTCGACCTTCTGAATCTTCAGATTTCAGTGTAAATATCACAAGCTCTTCACCATTAAACTCAGCTAAAAGTGAAGCAACTGTGAAGAGATCTCGTCCGTCTTTCCTTGATTCCCTCAATATTTCAAGAGCTCCAGACACTCAATATCAACACCCTGAGATAAAAGCGGATTTGGTTACATCCAGTGGTTCCCAACTAACTGGCAGTGATGGTTTTGAGCCATCTTATATATCAGGGAGAAGAGACAGTAATGGACCATTGACAAGCGGAGCATCTGATATTCCTAATCCATTTGAAAAATTCCGGAGTTCTTTGTATCCTGCTGCCAATGGAGTAATGCCAGATTTTACTGATTTCTCCATGCCGAAACAAAATGATGATTTTACTGCTCTGGAACAGGTAAGATACTTATTTCTTACACCATCAGTTATGTTGTTGATGTATCGTCAATATGCTACTTAGTATGGTCTTCTCATTTAGATAAATTAAGTTGGGAATTGATCTGATATTATATGAAGACGACCAAATCATCAAAGATTTTGAGTTGACACCTCGCTGCTGGATCATAATCTTTTTACGTTGTCTTGCATTGCTCTTTGATTTTACTTTAGGATGTTAGCTCACACTGTTCGTCTTTGTACACCCTTTGTCCTGTGAATTTTCTGAGCTACAGTTTTATTTTTCATTTGTAGCATATTGAGGATTTAACACAGGAAAAGTTTTCACTGCAAAGGGATCTTGATGCTTCACGTGCACTGGCAGAGTCCTTAGCATCAGAAAATTCTTCGATGACAGAAACTTATAATCAGCAGGTACATGCAAGCTTATGGCATTCTAGTTGGATGCTGTCCAACTCTGATTTTGGTTCTAGAAAACAATCTTGACCATTTGTAGTAGTTGACTAATTATTTGCATTTTATCATGCTTTATTGTTAGCAAGAGTATACTGTCATGAAAAAAAAAAAAAAAAAAAAAAAAGAGTATACTGTCATGTGGTTTTGGGATCCTTGGGAGAAGGAAATATTAGAATATTTATTATTCATGATGTTGATGGATGTGATTTGAGTCTCTCGTTAAAGTGTCATGCTCTTGATTAAACCATATTTAGACTTTGTGGCGAAAACACACAGTTTTAGACTATGAGATCATTGTTGCATTCACAAAGTGAGACGGAGAAGGTTATTAAAAGCAAAGAATTTGGAGAAGATGCTTCAGGATGTCTACGTAGTTGACATTTACTAGGCTTATCTACTGTTGAGAGTGCATGATGTTATATATTGTTTGCTATAAGACATGGTGTCCACTGACCTTTATAATAGTCCCAAATCATCCCAAAGTTTTATGTAATATTTGTTCTCGCTTCTATCTCATACAGAGAGGTCTTGTCAACCAACTAAAAGATGACATGGAGAGGCTATATCAACAGATCCAAGCCCAAATGGTAAGTATTAACTACTGCTATAGTCACCAAATTCCAGTTGTATATGCTCGAACAATATACTTTAGTAAAGCATGATATTACATTTTTCTACATTCGTATGCTATCAAATTGCTCCATGTTTACTTACGAAACTATAAATTTGAGTATGATCCTGGATGAGTATTTGTATGCCATGTTCTTTCATCCACTGGAGCTATTGTCTAGATTACTTTAAAAGCTGTTACTTGATTTAACACTAATTCTGTCCAGGGGGAACTTGAGTCTGTCAGGATTGAGTATGCAAATGCGCAGCTAGAATGTAGTGCTGCTGATGAGCGTTCCCAAATACTGGCTTCTGAAGTCATCAGTTTGGAAGATAAGGTATTTGGCTTGGATGTTATTTCTTACAATCACATTAGATTTTAAAAAAGAACCAACATTTTTGGCTCACTCAGCTGCAAAAGTGTGAAAGGAAATCTTTAGTTTAGTTTTTGGATATTTCAGCTGTGAGATATCTGTTTCCTCTACCTTCAGATGCTTATATAAATCTGTTTAGCTTAAATTTTTCTTGGAACAAATATTAGGCTCTCAGACTCAGATCTAATGAGTTAAAGCTGGAGAGGGAACTGGAGAATGCACAAGCAGAGATGTTATCTTACAAGTATGCTCTTTACTGTATTGTCCGTATCTTCACCTTCACACTATATTTGATCCAAAAAGAACCATGGGATACTGGAAACCCCCCCTAAGGAGGATTAAGTCTGTAACTTTTTATGGCTTTCTGGGATCTATTTCATCTTACCTAGAATTACCTATCAACTTTTATAGGAAAAAATTACAGAGCCTAGAGAAAGATCGTCAAGATTTACAATCTACTATTAAAGCTCTTCAGGAAGGTATGCAAAATCTATTTCTCTAAAAAGTAATGTGATTGAACAATTCTGTATTTATCTTATATTCTGCAAATCTATTGTTTCAGAGAAGAAGGTCCTACAGACTATGGTGCAGAAAGCTTCCTCTGGTGGGAAATCCACTGATCTGAGTAAAAGCTCAACTAGCAGAAAAAACGCGTCAACCTCTACAGAAGGTCTCGGTAATGGTCTTTGCACACTATTTAAGAAATCTGAAGCGTATTTTGGATGTCTAAACTCATATAGTTTCTGCATCTTCGGCATCACTTAGATAAAGTTTCAAGTTTAATCTTTGAATGACTCCTCACCAGTCCCATGACTATTTGGTTTCTTGGTGCAGCAATCTCAGATACTACGCCAGAGAGCTCCAACCAGGAAACAGATTCTACTACTCTGCTCGAAAATGATTTATCTAATACAGCTATCATTCCTGAAACTGGACAATTAACTCTTGAAGGGTTTTCATTAAGCGTCCCAGCTGATCAGATGAGAGTGATTCATAACATTAATACACTAATTGCTGAGGTAGTTTTTATGGATTATTTTTTATTTATTTATTATTTTATTTTTTTTGGGCAAAATTTTTATGGATTATTTATGTGATCATTTTCTTTATTGTTAAAGTTTTCTTTAGCTGTGAGAATCAATACTTTTTAATTCTCAAGGTGCTATCATTTTCTCAATCTGGATAATAACGTGATGATTATTTTGTTTCTCCGGCTGCAGTTAGCAATTGAGAAGGAAGAACTGGTGCAAGCGCTGTCATCTGAGTTATCTCGAAGTGCGCAGGTGCAGGTACAGTAACATAAACTGAATAGCATAAAATTCATGGGGCTAAAAACATGTCTTCTTTGACTTCAGTAAGAATTTTCTGTCACCATAACATCATGCATAAGTTCTCTGACTAAGCTTTCTATATGGTTTAGATTTATGTAAGTCCTCATTGTCTCAAAATCTCATGCCTTGTCTTCTTCTTATGCTTCTTTTTTCATGCTGATCCCTGCGCTCCTTATTTTCTCTGGATCTTTTTATAAGTACTGTGTTTGTGTTGCTTGTGTATCCCAAGTCATTAATATTTCTAATGTTTATTAACCATAGGAGCGGAACAAAGAGTTATCCAGAAAACTTGAAGCGCAGACTAAAAGGTTAGAGCTTGTAACAGCACAGAAGATGGCCATAGACAATGTTTCACCTGAAAAGCAGCAGCCGGATTCTCATGTTGTTCAAGAGAGAACACCAATTGCAGATGAAGGCGATGAGGTATTCTCTCTTTCACGTTCTCTCTCTGTGTTCAGAGTTTTAAACTTCAATCTGAGAAAGACTACACATTAATGACATCTCTCTCTCTTTAGGTGGTAGAAAGGGTTCTAGGATGGATCATGAAGATGTTCCCAGGAGGACCGTCGAAAAGAAGGACAAGCAAGCTTCTCTAATGGATGGCTTGCTCAGTCGTGACCCTTGTTGCTGTTCTGTATATCTCGGGCACAGCCATGGATTGCTTCTTCTCCTTTAGTTTTGGAAGAATTCATTTGGTTCTTTTGATCCAAAATTTTGGATTTCATTGGATTGAGCAAAAATGGTATAGTGAGAGACACCTTGAAGGGTTCCAAATGGATAGAGGAGACATGGAAGCTTAAACAGAGAGAAAGGTAGTTTATATGAGTGCGTTTTTGACTGAATTTTGTAATTGTTGATTATATAGCCAAGTTAAAGTGTTCCTAGCAAATATAATTACCAAAAAGAAAACAAATCTTGTATGGTTTTGGATATTTTATCTTCTCGTTTTAAATTGAAGACTTGAGCAAACTATGATGTTGAAATACAAGTGTTAACTATCATGTTGTTACAAATACTAGTATGAGCCATTCAACAAGAGGATGGATATGGTATCTACAAAAGATGAATATATATCTCCACATACAACATAACGAATTAAGATCACATGGTTCTTATTATGATAAGAACTTAAGAGCCAAACAAGCTTTGTTACAAAATCTCAAACAAAACCCAGAGGTCGCTAGTTCGAGTATCACTCGGGAAGAAACCATATTAAATGCTCTGGTCTTCGGTCTAAGGGGATGTATAGGCCTATGCCTAACCTCTTAGTAATTAAAATAAAAATACAAGTCATTATGGATTATACTTTATCTTCAGTGACCAATCAGAATTGTGGATAAAACAAATGAGTGGTTGATATAAAAAGATGTACATTAAAGACTTAATTGAGTTACCATAACCTTATTGTTTTCCATTTTGTTATTCTATAAATATGTGTAATCTTTCATTTGACCTCATAATCTCGATAACATAACCTAGTTTGTTCGTCGCCGCCGCCCACCATAAAAACCTTCATTTGTCCCGTTTTTTCTTCCTTTTTGACGAATCAGGTAAGAGATCTAGTATTTTCTCTCTCGCCACCATTAGTTTGACCATCATAACAAACTCAATTTAACCTCTTCTCGAAAAACATTTTACATAACAAGCGATCGGTTTTTTTGTCCGCATGAAAAAATATCGTATATTATATTGTCGATATATTTATGTGTAGATTCGATTAATTATTTTTAATTTAATTCAATTTTTGTCTTCTACATGAAGTCATGAATCCCTTTTTTTTAATGTGGTTTGATTATTATATTTAACCATTTTTCTTATTTGGTTTTTAAGAAAAACAAAAATAATTTGTAATTTGAATATTGTAAATTTGCATTTCATTTCATTTCATTAGTTTTGTGTTGTTTGTTTGCATGCAGAAATGACTATACCAGAAATGATATTTGAAGTCTTGGTACGACTTCCATTAAAGAGCCTTGCAAGATTCAGATCAGTGTGCAAAGAATGGAAATTTCTCATTGACTCTGAATTCTTCCGAAATCGCTTCATGTCGCTCAACTCTTCCTCAGTTTCATGGTCAATCATCCAAACGAGACCTCATAAACTGACACTTGAAATCTTGGGTCACCATGGATGCAAAACATGGGGTCTTACTCGTTCTCCAGGATCTTTAGTGAGTTTCTTTGCCGAGACCACAATCAGGAAACTACAAGTCTTAGCTTGTACCGATGGGTTGGTCCTTCTTTACGTAGAATCTAGCCATGGAACTCCTATGTATTACGTTGGTAATCCTTTGTTTCAAGAATGGTTTCGAATCCCTCTCCGTCCTAAATACACTTCGCAATTTGTTGAGAAATTACGGAACTACGAGCGTTTCAGCGACGGTGGATTGGTTACAAAGATGCAGAGTGGTATTGTTGTGAGTTACAAGGTTGTGTGGTTGATCGCTCACGCTTTTGCTAGAGTCGATTTTGGGATTTACTCATCTGATACAGGGGAATGGGAAATTAAAAAAGTGCCTTGTCTTCATTCTGCCTTCTGGTTTAGTCATCACAAGCCCATTGCTTTAAATGGGATTCTTCATTGGCTTTCCAACCTCACCGGTTCTTTTGTAGCTTACGATTTCTATGGAGGCCATCAAGATGCGTGTAGTATCATGCATTTCCCCGATATTGCACAAGATTACGAGTTACCGCGTTTTAGGAGAACCATCACGACCTCGGAAGGGTCTATTGTGTATTTCAACGTGTTTGGTGGGAACGCAAACCGCAGATTACGAGTTTGGAGACTGGTCAAGTACACTGATGGTCCTGAGGCATGGCAGCTCATTTGGGAAGTCAGCTTGGGGTCTTTGATCAAGCTAGGTGTCCTTTACCCGGTGGTGATGCATCCTTTGAAGTCTGAGATAATCTACTTGTGGAGCAGAATCAAGAAAGGTATGGTCTTGTTTAACTTGAGGACGCATAAGTTTAGTCTTCACAAGGAATCCGAAGACGAGAGGAAGTGTATGGATGGTTGCACCTTGAGCTTTAACTGGTGCAACGAGTATATGGAGACCGTTCATAGAGACTTTTCCCCATCGTTTCAAGGTGGTCCTAACCTTCTCCTCGCTTCACAATATGTTCTCCCTCGTTGGCTGCACCGTCTCCCTCGTCCGCAACCTTCTTAGTCTATTCTCTGTTTTCAGTACTTGAATCAAATTTCAAATGTGAATGGTTTTATTGTTGTTATGTTACCATTTACCAATGATCATAATCTTGAATTAGTAATACAATTATCATGGACCTAAACATAATTAGTAATCCAATTACCGGATTTATCCGGTCGGGTCGGGTCTGGTCGGAAAACACTGATCTAACCTGAGAAAAAACCCTAAAACGAAAAAAAAATGGAGATTCCAGAAGTGACGTTGGTCAACGTCTTGGTGCGATTTCCACTGAAGAGTATCGCGCGATTCAGATCAGTGAGCAAAGAATGGAAATTGCTAATCGATTCAGATTTCTTCAGAGATCTCTACATCTCTCTGAACTCATCTTCCTCAATCTCATGGTCAATCTGATAAGGTTCATCAAAAGTATTCTCGAAGGAAGAATAAAGTGATAACGTGGCAAGTGACGTGGCGTCAATCAAAGGGTAAACCAAAGCCTCGAGTCAAGCCAGAGGGTTCACTATTCTGCGAAAGTCTATAAAAGAGTCGTCGTTCTCCTTTCACCTTCTTCATGCGTTTTATGTTGAATGTTTGTTAAGCCTGCGTGCTTATGGAGGCGATCGTCATGAGATCGACCTGTTGATTCGTTTGGTAACTTGTTGTTACCAAACGTTCGTTATCCTTTCTTTGTTTATCGATTTGTAAACGCTAGTCATCAATCGATTGAAGTTTCCTTTTGATTTTCTGGGTTTGGATTGTTTATATTGATTCTCTGGTTTGTGTTCGTTGAGGGTAGCTAAACTCTATCAATGGTGCGGTGAAACTGAGATCGGATCTAACGCGATGTTGAGTTTGGGGGATTTGAAACGAAAGCTTGATTCGATGGAGACGACACGACCGAAGGTGAAATCCATGGATCACTTGGAGTTTGAATCTCCAGCTATGATAAATTTTGCTACTACGAAGAACCAATCGGATTTTGAATCTAAAGCTATGAAAGGTTTGGGTGAATCAGTGTCCCCAATTGAGAAAACCAGTGGCTCTATGGCTATGCCTATGTTTGATGGAACAAATCCGTCCCTGTGGCTTTCGAGAATAGAGAAATTTTTCAGTCTTTGCCGTTTTTCGGATGAAGTGAAGCGTGATCTTGTATTTTTGTGTTTTGAAGGAGTTGCGTCGACATGGTTTCTTCGTGAGATGTCCACAGTCATGGATTGGACTTCCTTTAAGCTTACGTTGTTGGCTCGATTTGATCCGGTGAAGAATAAGCTTGAGGACAAGCTTGTTTTTCAGGGAGGGTACACAGAGTCATCGATTCAAGAGGTCTACTCAAGTTCAAAGAAGGATTCCACGTCGGATCATGTTTCGCCTCCGATCGAAGAATTTCAGGTCCCTATTTCTCAATCAGAACCTAGCCTTAAATTTAGCAATGAGTCATTAGATGCCATGGATGAGCAATCATATGTTGTCGATGCCTCAGAAGTGTTTGAGATTTCTGAGTTGTCCACAAATGGCAACACCACACAGTGTGCACTCCAGCTGTTCGATAAAATGCTTCCGGGAGACAGAAGAAGGAAGCAACAACGTAAGCTGCGAAAACATCCTAAGGCTTGGCGATTTAAGTTCAAAATAAAGTCAAGAATTCAACAGCTCAAGGATTATTATTCTTTTGCTCAAGTTAGATCAGTGTGGAAAGGGAACAACTATAAGCCTTGGAGACAATCACACATGTCAAGGCTGATGTGCAAAAGGAGAATTAGACCGGCTTTAAGTGGAGTGCAACAATATTATGGTGGTGATGTGAAGTTTCACATGAAGCAGCTTATATTGTTGTGGATACAAATATCCAAGCTTGAGGGCAAGCTTGTTTTCAATGGGGAAAGTAATGGAGAGGCTGCCACAGGAATGGAGAATGAGATGTTTATGTTTCACCACAGTTTACTATTGTGTTCTTGGCCAGGACTGGAAATTCAGGAGCGTCAAGTTGGTTGCACCAAGGATGTTGAGTTCACACCAATTTTGAGAGGAGGGGATACATTCAGGATAGAAATAGAGGAATGTGACAAGGTCTGTGTATGTGATTACATGGTTCACATGGTACTGGAACATAGCATAGGAAGAGATTCTGGTCCATTTAAAGGGCAGAGAAAGCTGGGCAAGAACTGGTGGTTTAAATTCAAAATCAACACAAGGAGTAGAGACACACTTCGATTTTGTTCATGTTGGATGAATATGAACAGAAATAAGCATCATGGAATGAAGCCTATGTTGTTTCAGTCTCTTCAGGAAATGGAAGATTTAAGTATTCACGTTGTTGTTATTTCGGAATGTGGGGATAGAAACAAAGGTACTTCACAACTCCGTGTTTGGCATCATTGGAAGAATGAGGCTGAGAAAATGAAGGCAGTTTTAGAAATTCTAATATTGAGTGTGGTGATTTTTCAATCTAGCAAAGGGAATGAGGGTCTTTGGCAACAAAATCAGTTTAGACCAATATGCAGAATGGTTAAATGGAGGAATGAGTGTGTGACGCAAGATAGGACAGCACCATCAATTGAGTTTGGTTCTGGTATTGATGTCCTACAGAGAGAGATGCAATGGACTTGTGAGGAATTAAGTGAAGCTACTGCCATAGTCTTGAATAGTTTTCAGAAAGAGAAGTTTCTTAAATCCTGGAAATTCAAATACAAACACAAGGAACTACAGAATAGGAGACGGAGGCTGCTCATTTTCGGCCAACCAAATGGTTCAACCAACCTGTGTCAGTCAACATTTCTAGCTCAGTTTGCAGCTGCAGACCCTGGTTTGATTCTACATGGGCACATTGTCTTGATAGCTCATCCGAATGTGTATGGGAAGCTGCTGTTACAAATTAGACCATCAACGGATTTTCGGGAGTATGGAGATATCTTAACAAGGGCTGCTGTGTTCGGCATAGCTTTGACAGATCGAGCTGCATTACTAACCCAGCTTATTCTTGATGCTATAAAGTTCCAAGTGAAGCACAAGTGGAGATTTAAAAAGAGATTGATGGCACAAATGGACAAAAAGCATCTGGAACAATGTAGCATATTTGGAAATGATGGAGCTTATGTGTCGGAGACAGGTGGAGAAACTGGAAATTTGCAATGCACAGATTATGAATGGCTGGGTGCATATGCTTATAGAGACCTCAGATCAGGATATTATGAAGAGTGGAGTGCATTTATATTTGGCAGAATTACCAGTGCATTTGGCTTAGTCCCATTGTGTTCTTGTCGTGCTTTCCTCTTGTGGAGAGGCTGGCCTGTTCGTGAGTCAGGAGCCAGTGAGAGACTTGCCACATCAATTTTTTTTTTTTTTTTGAAGCTTGTGGACAAGCTTGTCTAAATGGGGGGAGTATTGATAAGGTTCATCAAAAGTATTCTCGAAGGAAGAATAAAGTGATAACGTGGCAAGTGACGTGGCGTCAATCAAAGGGTAAACCAAAGCCTCGAGTCAAGCCAGAGGGTTCACTATTCTGCGAAAGTCTATAAAAGAGTCGTCGTTCTCCTTTCACCTTCTTCATGCGTTTTATGTTGAATGTTTGTTAAGCCTGCGTGCTTATGGAGGCGATCGTCATGAGATCGACCTGTTGATTCGTTTGGTAACTTGTTGTTACCAAACGTTCGTTATCCTTTCTTTGTTTATCGATTTGTAAACGCTAGTCATCAATCGATTGAAGTTTCCTTTTGATTTTCTGGGTTTGGATTGTTTATATTGATTCTCTGGTTTGTGTTCGTTGAGGGTAGCTAAACTCTATCACAATCATTCAAATGAAACCTCAAAAATTGACACTTGAAATCGTTGGCCACTATGGATGCGAAAGATGGGGACTTTCTCGTTCTCCTGGATCTTTAGTAAGTTTCTTTGCAGAGACACCAATCAATAAACTAAATGTCTTAGCTTGTACAGATGGGTTGGTCTCGATTTGTGCAGAAACTAGTGATGGGTCTCCTATGTATTACATTGGAAACCCTTTGTTGCAGGAATGGTTTCGAATCCCTCAACCTCCTTTCCGTAATTTTGAGAGATTACGAAAGCACGAGCGTTTTAGCGACAGTGGATTAGTTACAAAGATGAAGAATGGTGTCGTTGTGAGTTACAAGATTGTGTGGTTGTTGACTCATCCTGCTAAGGTTGAGTTTATGATTTACTCATCTGATACAGGGACTTGGGATAGACGAAATGTGACTTGTGTCCATACTGCTTTGTGGACTAGTCGGGACAAGTCGATTGCTTTGAATGGGATTCTTCATTGGCTTTCCAATCTCACCAGTTCTATTGTCGCTTACGATTTCTATGGAGGTCATAATGATGGTTGTTGTATCATACATTTCCCTGGTGTTGGAAAAGATGATGAGTTACGGCGTTTTAGAAGAACCTTTACAACCTCGGAAGGGTCCATTGTGTATTTCAACGAGAATGTAGACCGCACATTACGGGTTTGGAGGCTGGTCAAGTACACTGATGGTCCTGAGGCGTGGCAGCTCTTTAGGGAAGTCAGCTTGGTGCCTTTGATGGAGTCAGGTATCAATTATATCCCTGTGGTAATGCATCCTTTGAACTCTGAGATCATCTACTTCTGGAGCAGGAACAAGAAAGGTCTGATCTTGTTTAACTTGAGGACACAAGTGTTTAGTCTTCACAAGGAAACTGAAGACGTTCGTAAGTGTATGGATGGTTGCGTTTTAAGTTTTAACCGGTGCAGCGAGTATATGGAGAGCATATATACATACTTTCTCTCATCATTTCAAAATGGTCCTAACCATCTCCTCTTTTCACAGTATGTTTTCCCTCGTTGGCTGCACCATCTCCCTGGTCTGAATCCTACTTAGTGTACTATGTTTCAAGTCTCAATCTGATAAGCTACAAAGATTGTATGAGAAGGCACATGTAAGAGCTAAATTGAAGGAAGAAGAGAAGAAGCTCGTAATCAAACTGTATTTGTGTGAGTTGTTAATAGAAGTTGTGTTCTAGACAGTGAAGCTCTAGAGACTCTTCACTGTATTGATACATTGTGTCATTAGTCATTTACAAGGATAAACACAGAGATTATACATTCATTCTCCTGTCTAATGGTTGAAAAATACAAATTTCGATCGAAATCTTATGTAAGTAAATACCATTTTTCTCATTCGATCCTGTAAGACTAATACAAGCGTTTTATCTACCAGATGGAGAATCTCTGGCTTTGGGTTCCTAATTTGGAATTATCATTTTCGAAATTCCCAAGTTTCAATGCCTTTTGTGAGTTTTGGTAGCTGGTTTTTCGATTCCGATAGGGTTTCATGCATAAACAATCTCAAGTTATCTATAGATGGAAATGATGCATCTTATCTCAAACCATGGGTTGATGCTTTAGTTAAGCGTAAGATCCAACATCTATTAGTTTATCGTACTGGAGATGGTTATTCTCATGAGATGCCTTTAAGCCTCTATGTTTGTGAGTCACTGGTATCTCTAAGACTCTATAGGCTGACATTGGTTGATGCTGAGTTTGTTTCTTTACCTTGTCTAAAGATCCTGCGTTTAAAAGATATTGAGTTTCACATTGTGGCCACTTTGAGTGACTTGTCTCATCCTGCCCTATCCTGGAGGAGTTATAGATTGATGTAGTATGGAATGATGGACAACTCTACCGAGTGCACTCTCAGTCACTGAAGAGGTTCTGTTTTCGACGAACTTTTTTTCTCGGGTTTGAATCTGTTCCGGGAGTTGTGATTGTTGCTCCTCTACTGTGCTGTTTGAGTTTCGATGATTGTGTATCAGAAAGCTTTATAGTAACCGATCTGGAGTCCAATGCCAAGCTAGATATTTCTCTCCGTTTTCGTTTGTGGGCTTTTGACGAAAGAAACATGTTTGTCGCTTGGATTCCGAGGGTTAGAGATATGACGATATGTGCACACACTTTTGTGGTATATTTCTGTCAATGCAGGTTTTGAATATGCACATTTTTCCTTTCGTGAAAGTCTCTAACCCACATTCTTATCTCTGGTTCCAGCTCATGAATCTTTACTCAGAATTTAAATCACTACCTCAATTTGGTTACATGTCCAGTCTATACGTTACTCTCAATGCACATATTTGAATTGGTTTCCAATCTTTCTTACAAGTAGGCAAGTAGCCCGAATCTCTCATCTTGGTGATGGTCTTCTATAAACCTTATGATTTTTTTTATCATCCCTATGAAGTTTCTGCATATTGTTTCATGGTGTCGTCCCCTCAATTTTCTCCACAGGAACGGCTTCGTTCCTAGTTCCTACCATCAACTGTCTCCCAAGGCGATGGAACGAGTTAGTATTTCATCTGTGCCTGAGTGTTTGCTATCGTCCCTCGAGTTTGTTGAATTCAAAGCCCCAATTTGGGAACTTGCTCCAGAAATGAAGCTCGTATGGTACTTCCTAGAGAATTCTCCCACCCTCAAGAAGCTCACTCTACATTTGAAGTCTCATTCAACAACAGATGACTTCATCAAGAAACTCCTCAAAATCCCAAGATGCTCTACCGAATGTGAAGTTGTCTTTCTTTGATTGGTAAAGAGCAGAGAGAAAGCAAGCTTCTTTAATGCATGGCTTGCTCAGTCGTGACCCTTTGTTGTCATTCTGTAAGTTTTGGTACTTCTGATCCAAAATTTTGGATTTCATTGGATTGGGCAAACAAAAATGGTATAGTGAGAGACACCTTGAAGAGTTCCAAATGGATAGAGGAGATACGGAAGCTTAAACAGAGAGAGGTAGTTGTTATATGGTATGAGCCATTGAACAAGAGGATGTATATGGTATCTACAAAAGATGAATATATATCTCCAAATACAACATAACGAAAGTAAGATCACATGATCCTTATTATGATGAGAGAACTTAAGAGCATAGCTAGCTTTGTTACAAAATCACAAGATATAAAATTGCAACCTATCCCAAACAGAATTGAACTCAGGGGACCAATTTTCTCAAATTTTTAAGAGGGGTGTCACACGCCATTGACCCAAAAACTATAATGCAATGTTCGGTAAACAAACGATTCTAGTTTATTAATTATCGCAACTAAATCATGTCTCATTGAATATATAGGTTAACCTAATGATATAGGCAAAAAATGATTCATTTGTGCAGATAAAATCTATTGATATTATTGTGTGTCCAAATCCAATCCACCATCGGCCCGGCCCAATAGTTGGCCCGCCGATCCATGCCCGAGCATACCGAGATCAATGGCTAGAGCCATCATCTCGAGGGGGCGTATTAGGGATAATATTATCCCACATTGGAAAGGACAAGGGATCTTGATTAGTATATAAGATATATGGGCCTCTCCACTCATTGCCAATTGGTTTTGAGTTGGAAGTCCATAGAACTTAACATGGTATCAGAGCCCGATCCACACATGTCCAACCCGATCCGACCCAAAGATGGTCCAATCATCGACAAGGCCCAAAATTGATGCCGTCGATCTAAGCCCGAACATTCCGAGATTAATGGCCAAAGAGCCATTATCTCGAGGGGGCGTATTAGGACATAATGTCCCACATCGGAAGTTGGAAGGGATCCTAAGTAATATATAAGGGATATGCGCCACTCCACTCATTGCCAATTGGTTTTGAGTTGGAAGCCCATAGAACTTAACTAATCTAAAGTTTTAAAACATTTAGAAGCCATTATCACCAAGTGTTAATAAATCAATTGATAAAATATCTTTGCTGGTTGAGTATCACTTGGGAGAAAACCATATTAAATGCTCTGTTTTCCGGCCTAAGGAGATGTACAGGCCTAGGCCCAAAACTTCTTAAAAAAGTCATTATGGATTATACCTTATCTTCACTGACCAATCAGAATTGTGGATAAAACAAATGAGTGGTTGATATAAAAAGATGTATATTAAAAACTTAATTGGATTACCATAACCCTACTGTTTTCCATTTTGTTATCGTATAAATATGTGTAATCTTTCGTTTAACCTCATAGTCTCGATAACATAAGCTAGTTTGTTCGTCGCCGCCGCCCACCATAAAATCCTTCATTTTTCCTATTTTCTCCTCCTTTTTGACGAAATCAGGTAAGAGATCTAGTATTTTCTCTCTCTCTACCATTAGTTAGACCATCACAACAAACTCAATTTAACCTCTTCTCGATAAACAAGCTATCGATTTTCTTTGTCCGCATGGAAAAATATCGTATATTATATTGTCGATATATTTATATGTAGATTCTATTAATTGTTTTCTTATATATGAAGTCATGATTCCCTATTTCTTTTTTTTTTAATGTGGTTTGATTGTTATAGGTAAAAAACTTTTTCTTATTTGGTTTTTAAGAAAAACAAAAACAATTTGTTATCTATGGGTAATTTAAATATTATAAATTTTGCATTTTATTCCATTGGTTATGTGTTGTTTTTTTGCATGCAGAAATGAATATTCCAGAAGTGGCATTTCAAGTCTTGGTGCGACTTCCACTAAAAAGCCTCGCAAGATTCAGATCAGTGTGCAGAGAATGGAAACTTCTAATCGACTCTGAATTCTTCCGAGACTACTTCATCTCGCTCAACTCTTCCTCAGTCTCATGGTCAATCATTCAAACGAGACATCACATATTGTCACTTGACATCGTTGGTCACCATGGATGCAAAACATGGGGACTTACTCGTTTTCCGGGATCTTTTGTGAGTTTCTTTGCCGAGACCACAATCAGGAAACTACAAGTCTTAGCTTGTACCGATGGGTTGGTCCTTATTTACGCAGAAGCTAGTGATGGAACTCCTATGCATTACGTTGGTAGTCCTTTGTTTCAAGAATGGTTTCAAATTCCTTTCCCTCCTTACATCCATTTGCAAGATGATGTGGGATTACATGATCATAAGCGTTTCAACGACAGTGGATTGGTTACAAAGATGCAGAGTGGTACCGTTGTGAGTTACAAGGTTGTGTGGTTGATCGCTCACGCTTTTGCTAAAGTCGATTTTGGGATTTACTCATCTGATACAGGGGAATGGGAAATTAAAAAAGTGACTTGTCTTCATTCTCCCTTCTGGTTTAGTCATCAAAAGTCCATTGCTTTAAATGGGATTCTTCATTGGCTTTGCAATTTCAACACTTCTTTTGTAGCTTACGATTTCTATGGAGATCATGATGATGATGCGTGTGATATCATACATTTCCCCGATAGTGGAAAAGATGATGAGTTACGATGTTTTAGGAGAACCTTGTCGACCTCGGAAGGGTCTATTGTGTACTTCAACGAGTTTGGTGAGAACGGAAACCGCATATTACGGGTTTGGAGGCTGGTCAAGTACACTGATGGTCCTGAGGCGTGGCAGCTCTTTTGGGAAGTCAGCTTGGTGTCTTTGATCGATTTAGGTATCTATTATTTCCCTGTGGTGATGCATCCTTTGAACTCTGAGATCATCTACTTGTGGAGCAGAAACAAGACAGGTATGGTATTGTTTAACTTGAGGACACATGTGTTTAGTCTTCACAAGGAATCCGAAGACGAGACCAAGTGTATGGATGGTTGCACCTTGAGCTTTAACAGGTGCAGCGAGTATATGGAGAGTATGTATGGATACTTTTTCCCATCGTCTTACGGTGGTACTAACTGTCTCTTCGCTTCACAGTATGTTCTCCCTCGTTGGCTGCACCGTCTCCCTCGTCCGCAGCCTTCTTAGTCTATTCTCTGTTTTGAGTACTTGAATCAAATTTCAAATGTGAATGATTTTACTGTTGTGATGTTATCAATCATCCTATACTATTATTTGGGGAGTACACTTTATAAGATACCCTTAACTAACCTTCCTTTTTGTAAGAATTTACTTAAGAATGCCATTAGAAATAAAATTTTATAGAGTAAATTAATTCATCTCATTAAGGATAAACAAGTCAAATACTATTTTATGCAATTTAATTAATTTAATTTAATTATAAAAACGAAAATCTATTATTAATTTTTTTAAAAAGAATGACCAATCAAAATGAACATATAAGATTTGATATCTAACTTATCATATTAATTTGTTATTAATCACTATACTTCACCTCTCATCTTTATATTATTCTATTTCTATAAAATAAATAAATTATTATATCATCTACATAATAAAAAAAGGTAAATTTTTTACCGCATATACAAAGATTTGAATTTTTAAAAACGAATATAAATTGTTCAATGTATGAAAAAACAAATTTAACGGGTCAAAAATTCATATTTGAGTAATATATTCCTTTTTTTAATATCATCAATATTTAATAGATCAAAAAGTTAAGAAATATAAATACTCTAATTTAATTTTTTGAAACAAATATTTATAATAGGCGGCGGGTTAAATATAATGTATTATATGATGAAATGAGTTATGATCCTTATAACTATTTGAATATTTATATTTAATTTCATATACATATTTTTTTTAAATTCATAATTTTACATACTACAAAAAAAAATTTAAAGATTTTAATTTGGAACATTTAAAAAAAGTTTAATTTAATATATTAAAGAATATCATAAATATTTAATAGATTAAAAAGATAAAAAAATTATAAATACTAATTTGATTTTCTAAAAAGATATGTTTAATATATTTATAGTAGGCGGCGGGTTAAAAGTAATGTATTATATGATAGAAAGTTATGATCCTTATAATAGACGACATTTTAAGATTTTATGATGAGATGAGTTAAATAAGGTTTGAAACTTCTAAATATTTGAAAATTTAATTCTGCAAGCAATTTTGGAAATAATGAATAATAGATTGTGCCACAATATTTTCATAGGGATTGTAAAATGAAAATATAGACTCCACACACGGATCAAGTTTGGTATTATTATATACCAAATATATGTTCATAACATATTCGATTATGTGAATAATTGGTAAATTCCGTAATTAACTCAAACAAATCTCTATTTCAACAACCAATGAATTAGAATTTGAAAAAATAATTTCCTAAATTAATTCAAAATAATAGCTAACTTTTTTAACTAATTCAAAATAATCTACGTTTTAGATGCGATTCATTTATGATATTTTGATTTTTGATCTAACTAAATTATATGCACTCTCATTTTGTGGTTGTTAACATAAATTAACTCATTGTTCAAACAATATTATTTTTTTTGAAAATAATATTATTTTCTGTTTTCATATCTTTAAAAAATATATCCATAATTGAGGATTACAGAAAAATAAAAATATATTCATTCTAATATGATATATATATGGACTGACATAAAAAATTTTTTTACTTACTATTATAATATATCACGATTTTATTCTATAACTATATAATATATAAATTTTGTAATAAATGAAATTCAACCCGTACTGTAGTACGGGTGATGATCTAGTAATCTTGTATTAGTAATACAATTATCATGCCCGAGCCTTTGTCATCGATTAATTGGTTGTGTTTGTTTGGATGTCCAAAACAATAAACTAATCTATATATAATAGCAATCTAATAAATACCATTTGCACATCTGAACGGTTGCGTCTTTTTATCGCAACTTTTCGTTTAAATCGGTTATTTTTTACGGTTATTTTGGTTGCGTCTTTTTATCGTAATTTTCGTTTTAGTCGGTTATTTTTTTACGGCTAAATACCATTTGCACATCTGAACGGTTGCGTCTTTTTATCGTAACTTTTCGTTTAAATCGGTTATTTTTTTACGGTTATTTTGGTTGCGTCTTTTTATCGTAATTTTCGTTTAATCGGTTATTTTTTTACGGCTATGTCGTTTCCAATAAATACCATTTGTACATCTAAACGGTTGTGTCTTTTTATTGCAATCTTTCGTTTAAATATTTATGGTTGTTTTTCAGTTATTTTTGTACGGTTGTTTTATTGAATTTTTTTTTACGTAAACCAATAAACTACATATAAAATTGGTTTATTTCATAGTTTACATATGGATATATTTTTAATTTTTAAACTAAAATTTATATTTTACGGGTATGTTTTTTAGAAAATTGCAATCTGAATATCTTCTGCTGTTGCTTCTTTTTATTGTACCTCTTCATAAACAGTTGCAACCTTTTATTTGAATTATTGCAATATTTAGTTTATTTCACGAACAATTGAAACCTTTAGTTTATATCACAAACAATTGTAACCTTTGATTTATATATTTAGTTTATTTCACGAACGATTGCAACATTTGATTTATATATATTTTTTTGTATTTCACGAAAAATTGCAACCTTTGGTTTATTTTACAAATTGCTATAACATCTAATTATCTACCGTCGCGTCTCTCGGTATAATTTTCATAAACTAATATTTTTAATTTTTAATTACCAAAATGCATTTAAATGAGATTGTAATCGTTTAATTGAACCGTTGAAACATTTGGTTTATTTGACCAATCATTGCAATTTTTGGTTTTGTTTTACAAACCATTGTAATCTTTAGTTTATTTGACGAACTTGACGAACCGCTACAACTTTTGATATATCGCAACATTTCATTTACTTCTTTTTAAACTAAAAAAATTATTTTACGTTATGTTTTTTGAGAAATTTGCAATCCGAGTAAATATTTTTTACGGTTGCATCTTTTTATCGTAATTTTTCATAAAATGATTGCAGCCGTTTAGTTAAACCATTACAACATTTAGTTTATTTCACGAAAAATTGCAACTTTAAGTTTATTTTATAAATCGTTATAACATTTAATCATCTACCATCGTTATTATTAATTTTCGTTTGATTTTTTTTTTTTAACGATTTTTGAAATATTTTCCCCCGCGACATCGCGGGGGTCCGGAGTCCTAGTTAATTATAGTGTAATATATTTGATAATATAATTATTCGAAAATTTGTTTTTGGAGCTTTTTTCATTTCATTCGTTCTGTGTTTTCTGCAGAAATCGATTATATAACACCTAACCGAAGAAGAAGAAGAATTCAAGAACCCTAAAATGGATATTCAAGAAATGGTATTGGAAGTCTTGGCGCGATTACCATTGAAGAGCATCGCAAGATTCAGAGCAACGAGCAAAACATGGAGATCGCTGATCGATTCCGATTACTTCAGAGATAACTTCATCTCTCGCAACTCATCTTCTTCAATCTCGTGGTCAATCATTCAGTTGCAACCTCACAAACTAATTGAAATCATTGGTCACCATGGATGCAAAACATGGGGACTTACTCGTTCTCCAGGATCTTTAGTGAGTTTCTTTGTCGAGACCACAATCAGGAAACTACAAGTCTTAGCTTGTACCGATGGGTTGGTGTTGCTTTACGTAGAAGCTACCGATGGAACTCCTATGTATTACGTTGGAAACCCTATGTTTCAAGAATGGTTTCGAATCCCTCTTCCTCATTTCTTCTCTTTGCAAAATCTTCAGAGATTACAGAACCACAAGCGTTTCAGCGACAGTGGATTGGTTACAAAGATGCAGAACGGTATCGTTGTGAGTTACAAAGTTGTGTGGCTGTTGACTCACGATGTTGGTGCTAAAGTCGATTTTGCGATTTACTCATCTGATACAGGGAAGTGGGAAGGTCGAACTGTGACTTGTCTTCGTTCTAGATTCTGGTTAAGTGATGACAAGTCGATTGCTTTGAATGGGATTCTTCACTGGATTCACGATTGCACCCGATCTTTTATAGCCTACGATTTCTATGGAGGCCATGATGATGATCAGTGTAGTATCATAACTTTCCCCGATACTGGAGTTGATAAGGCGTTATTGTGGTTTAGGAGAACCATCACGACCTCTGAGGGGTATATTGTGTATTTCAACGAGCTTTGTGAGAATGGAAACCGAACATTACGGGTTTGGAGGCTGGTCACGTACATTAATGGTCCTGAGGCGTGGCAGCTCTTTTGGGATGTCAGCTTAGTGTCTTTAATCGAGTTAGGTATCTATTATTTCCCTGTGGTGATGCATCCTTTGAACTCTGAGATCATCTACTTGTGGAGCAGGAGCCAGAAAATGCTGATCTTGTATAACTTGAGGACACATGTGTTTAGTTTTCACGAGGAAACCGCAGACGATAGCAAGTGTATGGATGGTTGCATCTTGAGTTTTAACCGGTGCAGCAAGTATATGAAGAACTACTATTTCCCAGCGGTAACATTTAGTCGTAACCATCTCATCTTTTCCCAGTATGTTCTCCCTCGTTGGCTGCAACGTCTCCCTCGTCCACAGCCTACTTAGTGTCTTCTGTTTTGAGTTTGAATCCCTATGTTCAAATTGTTGAAGAAATCGAATTTAAAATATGATTCCACCGCTCTACGATGTTTCCAATCAAAATCTTATACATTTACAATCTTCTTTTCAAGCCTGTAAGACAGATACACGCACCATGATGGTATGGTAGTGAACCTTTCTATTCAATCGAAACAGCGGTTCATAAGCGTTTAAGCAGCACAAAATAAGCTAATCATTAAAAGTTTACAAGTGAAATGATGATGGTTATAGCTATCCATTCAGCTTAAGACACAAGGAACATAAGATTCCCACAATCAGTAAAGATCACCATCTTCAAATCTGTCTCCTATGTCATTCATCAAAGAGTAGCAACAATAACCTTCACGGCTTCACCAAGTAATACAAGTCAGGGACTTAAAAGTACAGCATCAAGCAGCTCAACCTTCCCAAATCTCACCTTTCAAACCTCACACCAAAGCATCTTCATCTCATATCCACCACCAGAATGTGAATTCTTGTCCGAGAAAACCGCTATTTTCCCACCATAATCAGCCAATCTAAAACGAGCATAACTAGAAAACTTAGGTAGTCCTACTCTAAACCCTTCAATACCTTAGTGTTTCATACCATTTGAATTGTCTTTCTGAGCCTCTTACAAAACATTTTCTATGGAAAACTGAGTTCCATTCTGAGCCATCTCTCCTTGGACCAAGTCCCATATATCAAACTTCATTTGGATCATAAGGCAGACCCTTTTTCCCAACCATCAGGTGGAACTTACCTTCAACCCCAATTTAGCTTCCAAGTTTGAGTCTTTGAGTCAAAAACCTCGATAGAACTCAATGAATCTGAATCGCCATCTTCGATTCCTCCTCCTTACATAAATGTCACATCCTCTTAACCATCAAGCTTGGATCTTTACGCCACTTGTGAGACCAACAGTCTAGGATCGAGACGCTAGACGAAAGTAGATGCTTGATTTTTGAACTAACCGCCACGAGAGACCTGAGAAATGGGATTGGGACCAAAAGATTGCCACTTTGACTTGTGATGGGTTTGAGGCAGAGAGTGAACCAGTGAAGAGTACACACACACATAGAGTCAGACAACTCTCTGTTCGTCGTATAGCTCCGGTGAAGCAATGAGAGATCTCTGGAGACGACATTTGCCGGAGTTATCAAAACGAAATCGCCGTCGATCATTCTACTTCTTCTCCGACTTGCAGAGTCTCATTTCAGGGATTTGACTTGGGCTTAATGGGCCTCTACTTAATTTTAATTTTTAGATTAAAATGTTGAAAATAAAACAACTTTTTGTTTTTTTTTGTTTTTTGTTAAAGACAAATTGGTTAATCTTTTTTTTTTTTACAAATAAATATATATTACTAGATTATGATCTAGATGAAATTTTTAATAATGAATGTAGTATGGTAAAATTCGTCAATCGTTAAAAAGAAAACACAGCCTAGATTCCAGATTTGTGAATTTGTAATTGTGATTGCATCTTCATTTTTGGTCAATATATAGTAACATCAAGTCATGGAAAATGTTTGAGTCTTGCAAAAGGTATGTTTATGCATATGATATGCAGCATATCCTAGTAGGATGACTAAGAGAAGGGAAGAACAATATACAGTAGTAAAATCTCTATAAATTAACATTTGAGAAATTAATAATCTTTTTAAATTAATAAATTTCTCCCTACCTAAGTTAGGCCAATGTGAAAAATAACACAATTCGATAAAAAAAATAAGATATTATTTTTTTTGAAAATTTTATACAATATATTGTCTCGTCAATATCATAAATTTATAATTATAAAAACTTATCAGAAATATATATATTATATGTATAACAATTTAGTGAAATATTAATCTAATGTTGTTTTTAAAAAGTTTTTTAGTATTAGTTCTTGTTAAAATTCATTTCTAATATTTTTATCAAATCAAAAATTTTGTCTTGTCTTCTAAACATGATAATTATTTTTTTACTTGTAACTGAACTTAGAGGAATATTGATTATAACGAAGAAACTTACAAATATTTGAATAGAATTTATAAAAATATTATGAAATTTAATCAAATCTTTCTATAAATTAGTTTATTAGTGGGCTTTGTTGGGCTTTTGTGTATTAGAAACTCATTTATACACACACACGTGAGAACTACAAGGTTCCGGCGGCAAGTGATTCCTAATTCCCGCCGGCAAAATCACGATTTACAGTTCCGGCAATTGATTCCATTCCGTTCGATCAAAACAATGTAGGTTCTTCTTCTTCTTCTGATTTTACCCATTTTTGTTGTAAAATTATCTTCATAAGATTTTGAAAAACCCTAGCCTGAGTGCATGACTTAGTCTCAATGTGGTTTAGTTTCTCTATCTTCTTCCTCCTCCGTCACTGGAAAGTTTAAAGAAGGAGAATTTTGAATCTTTTGATTAGTGTTGATTGCAATTTTGTACCTTTTCTCTCTGAAATTTTGTATCATTTCTTACAGATTTCGTTGTCTTGAACAAAAGAAAACAAATGGCTGGTGGTTCCAAAGGATTGAGTCATCAGAGGTTGAAGGAAGATAGAATAAGTCAATTACCAGATCCTTTGTTAACTCAGATTCTTAATCATCTTACCACAGAGGAAGCTGTTAGGTCCAGCGTCTTATCTACCAGATGGAGGACTCTCTGGCTTTGGGTTCCTAATTTGGAATTCTCATTTTCGAAATTCCCAAGTTTCAATGCCTTTTTGAGTTTCGGTGACTGGTTTTTCGATTCCGATAGGGTTTCATGCATAGAGAGCCTCAAGTTATCTATAGATAGAAATGATGCATCCTATTCCTATCTCACATCATGGATTGATGCCTTAGTTAAGCGTAAGATCCAACATCTATATGTTTATCGTACTCGAGGTGCTTATCCTCATGAGATGCCTTTAAGCCTCTATGTTTGTGAGTCACTGGTATCTCTAAGACTCTATAGGCTGACATTGGTTAATGCTGAGTTTGTTTCTTTACCTTGTCTAAAGATCCTGCGTTTGAAAGATATTGTGTTTACCAATGAGGCTACTTTTGAGAGACTTGTCTCGTCCTGCCCTGTGCTAGAATACTTAAAGGTTGACGTGGTATCAAATGATCGAAACGTCTATCGGGTGCATTCTCGGTCACTGAAGAGGTTCCGTTTACAACGACGTTCTTCTCGCTGGTTTGATTATTCTGGTTCTGGACTTGTGATTGATGCTCCTCTGCTGTGCTTTTTGAGAATTGATGATGATGTATCAGAAAGCTATACATTAAGCGATCTGGAGTCCAATGCCAAGTTAGATGTTTCTCTCCTTTGTGGTATGTGGGAAGCAAAGAGAAGAACCATGCACAGTTTTCTCACTTGGATTTCGAGGGTCAGGGATATGAAGATATGTGCAAACACTTTCCAGGTATATATGTCAATGTAGGTTTTGGACATTCACATTTGTTCTCATCGTGAAAGTTTCTAACCCACATTCTTATCTCTCTGGTTCCAGCTCATCCATCGATACTCAGAATTTGAACAGCTACCTCAATTTGGTTACATGTCCAGTCTATACCTTACTCTCATAGAACCATATTTTAAACAGTTTCTAATCTTTCTTAGGAGCTGCCCGAATCTGAAATCCCTCATCTTAGTGATGGTCTGCTATAAACCCTCTTGATTTTATCATCCCTATATATGAAAGTTTCTGTATATTGTTTCATTTTGTTTTCCCCTCGTTATTTTCCACAGCGACAGATTGATTTTTCCAAACGACTGTGCCCCAAGGTGATGGAACGAGTTAATATTTCATCTGTGCCTGAGTGTTTGCTATCGTCCCTCGAGTTTGTTGAATTCAAAACCCCAATTTGTGGACTTGATCCAGAGATGATGCTAGTATGGTACTTCCTAGAGAATTCTGCCACCCTCAAGAAACTCACTCTACGTTTGAAGTCTCATTCAACAAAAGATGACTTTGTCAAGGAACACCTCAAAATCCCAAGAGGCTCTACCGAATGTGAAATCGTCATTCTGTGATCGGTAAAGAGCAGAGAGGACATAGTGAAGTATCGTGGTTTTATTGAAAGACAGAAGTGAATATGCATTGTAGTTTCATGGTTGGGTTTGGCTTTGGGTTTCATATGTTCCTTAATGCAACTATTAATTAGGTTATTTTGTGTAAAGCCAATGTGGTAAGTCGTAGCAGTTTCTTTATTACTTGGTTTGGTGATATTATGATAGCTTAATTATTTTTGCTCATTCGTTTTCTGAATTTTCCATGGCACTTCATGGATCTTTTGTTATCTATGCAAATGTTAGAAAACTCTTAGCAAGGTCAAATTGAGTTAAATATGAGTAGTACTAGTTTGTCAAGTTTATAGATCCTAAACGATGAAAATGCAAGCATACCGATTACAAGGAAGATAAGCCCGTAAAGATTAAAATATCGATGCAGGGAGACTCATATCGTCTTCTTCACTCATCAACATAGTGAGGATTTGCTCTACTTGGTTTCTGAATTTCAATGACAGCTCATGGATCTCTTATAAGGTGAATTCAAATGTTAGAAAACTCTTAGCAAGGTCAAATTGAGCTATTAATGAACATCCTAATTTTAATTAAACAAGCTAATTTGATTGTACTACCAGGCTTCTAACCTGGCAATCCCGGTTTTGAACCCGGAAATAAGTCATCAAGTTTTGATGAATTTATCCAGTGTGCTACATCGGATCTTTTATTAATCTTTGCATTTATCTTTTTATATATATATATATATATCCACTGCCGGGCTTTGAACCCGGACATAAGTTATCAAAGAAAATTTTATATTTTTAAGGATTTCCACTGCCAGGCTTTGAACCCAGAAATAAGTAATCAATCTAGATGAGTTTAGCCAAAGAAAAAAAAGTTTTTCCACAGTTGGGTTAACCTGAGATTCTATGTTTATGATGTTGACCACATGACGCTATATGTTTCGCATATGTGGCCATGCAATCCATATACGTCAGGTAGCTGAGTGTCATTTAGTTTACTTGGCATGTGTAGTCATGTGTTCTGATATACTTCAGGTAGCTGACAATCTTTTTTTCTTAATTTAGCTAATCTGCTACAACGGATCTTTTGTTAAAGTAGGATTTTCTATTATATATGTATATTAAAACAGATAATTATAAAGTTTGCATATTCTCATTTGTAAAAGTAAAAGAAAAAAATGAGAGTAGTCAAAAACACATAGATGGCCACCCTTACATCTCTCCACCAAAATTTACTCATTTCTTTTTTCACCACAAAAACAACAAATCCCAAAGTAATGCTAAAACCACTATAAATACACTTTTCATAAAACAAAACAAGAAAATCAATCAAAGCTCATTTACTTGATAAAAATCATGTCGAACTTGCAACAATCCTACAATGCTGGACAGACCAAGGGCCAAGCTCATGTCTCTTCCTCTTCTTTTTTCTTCCATTACAATTATCCTTGTTTTGTAGTTACCTATATATGATGGACTTTGGTTTTGTAATCAATTAGTACTAAATATAATAGATTTGGCCTTTGCAGGAGAAGGCTGAGCAATGGACAGAATCTGCCAAGGAAACTGCACACAGCGCTCGCGATAAGACAGCTAACGCGGCTCAGTCCACCAAAGAATCTGCCCAACACGGCCAACAACAAGCCTCTGGTTTCATCCAACAAGTAATTTTAATTAACTAATGCTTAACCATTAATGCTAATTATATATGTATATAATAATGAATTAGTAAGACTATAAAACTGTGTTAATCTATATCAATGTTTATGTGAACAGACTGGAGAGTCAGTGAAGAACATGGCTCAAGGTGCTGTTGATGGTGTCAAGAACACTCTTGGTATCAACGAGAAGAAATGAGAAGTCAAAATACTATAAATTTTGCTTATTTTTGGAGATTTTTTTTTAAGTTTGAACACTCTTGTAATAAAGTTTGGATTTACTTCTTTGTTTTCTTCATGTGTGGAAGATTTTGACATGAGATCTGAAAAGTAATAAAAAAATCTGGTGTAATATTTGCCGATATGGTATATTGCTAGTACTGTGATCGTTTTGTGTTGCGGATTCTTGAAGACGTTGTAAAACATGAATGGTCCCAAGCATATATACGTATTGCCTCCTTCGTGGAGGAATGTAGTTGGATGGAGGGGCTTATACTTTGCTGGTATGATTGATACAAATGAAATTGTGTTCTTGCCTTCCCAGCCAGATTATGACCCTTATGTTGTCTACTACAATATCGAGAGAAAGACGATGATAAGAGTTGAAATCCAAGGAACCGAAGCCTTAGTGGATTTCACATCTTTCTAAACCATGTAGAGAACGTGAAGCTTATTCAAGCATAGCTAGTTTGCCACATTGGCTCTTAACTCTTAAGTTCAATCTCATATACAAGTATTTATGCAAATCCGTCTTTATTCTGTCTTTATTCGGAATTCGGCCACAATCAAAAGTTTTTATTTTTGACAGTTAAGAGAAACAAAATCTTAAAAATCTGCAAATAGCTAATGATCAGTCACAAAGTAACATGATCTAAGAAGCTACAATAAATAAACGTACAAATTCCCTCATGAACACACTACATTCTGCTGCTCATTCACAAAACTCCCTCTTCGATCGTTCACTTATTCGTCAGTCACGCATCCATTTGAAGCCGATTGCACGTTCTTGATGTACTGTTTTTAGAAAATCATAGACCATTCATTAGAAACTAATTCAACAGATGTCAAAGAGACATACATTTATATACATACAAGTAAGTGGATTTATAATACCTTGTATAGAACTCCACGGTTAACCTTGTATGCAGGAGCGGTCCATTTCTTTCTACGGTCATTCATTTCTTCGGGCGAGACTTGAGTGTCTATTCTCTTCTTTCCTATGTCAATGGTGATTATGTCTCCGTTCTTGATCAGACCAATCGGACCACCCTCCTGCAGATATAAATAGTAAGCACACCGGAGAATTGCTTTCAGCATTATTATCTTACATTCTCAAATCACATTAATATCGGTTTTAGTATTTGAAAGATTCCAAAATCATCATGTCCCAATATATCTCGGAAGAGGGACATGGATCTATCAAATTTATCTTGTAAGTGCAAAATTTAGAATTTTGCACTAGAGCCAGTGGACAGAGAGAGAAAAAGGGAGAGAGAGAGAGAGAGACCTGAGCTTCAGGGCAAATGTGGCCAACAACAAAACCGTGTGACCCACCAGAAAACCTACCATCAGTCAGTAATGCACATTCCTGCAGCACCCAATAGCAACATATTGTCATTTTCTAGAAGTGTGTTTTCGGATGTGGATAAAGTAGATAAAATGAATCTGGTCACTACCATAAGCATGCATTGCTCAATTAGTCAGACCATAACAAAGGAAAAAACGAGTTCTATAGCTTAGAACATAAAAATTGATTAGACTAAGTAAATGTCTCACTAACCAAGTCATACTGGTCATACCTTTCCAAGACCGGCACCCATTATTGCACTTGTCGGTGTCAACATCTCAGGCATACCTGGACCTCCTTTAGGCCCCTCTCCTCTGATAACAACCACTGTTCCCTGAAACACGATACATTTCATCAGATAAAAAGAAATAACCAGCTCTTGAGATTAACTTCATATCAGAAAGGAAATTACCTTAAACCTCATTGGGTCTGCTGATATAGCAGCCAGCATAGATTCCTCTCCTTCAAATACAAGCGCGGGACCTAAAATAAAGAGTTCCATTATATAAGCCCTCAAATTGAGAAGCGTTAGCTAAATATGGAGAGTAAAGGAGGCATTAAAGTGAACCAACATTACCAGAGAAATATAAGCCCTCTTTGCCGGTAATTTTTGCTACCGAACCATCTGGTGCAAGGTCTCCTCTCAAAATTTGTATGTGTCCAGTCTCCTTAATTGGATTTGACAGAGGTCTAATTATCTCCTGGAACATTATCAGAATTAATTAGAAACCTGTATAACTAACATCCATCATAATCAAGAAGAAACAGACGGTGAATTGTAATGAGATAACTGCTAACATTACAAATAATCCTACCTGCCCTTCTGTTAAGCGGGGGACGTTTTCTAAATTTTGAGCCAAAGTCTGCCCTGTGACTGGTAGGAGATACAAAAGCGTAGTTATGTGACCATTTCACATCAACCCAAAATTTTAAGTCCGTTTATAAATATGTTTAAGCATTTTTACCTGTCATACAATCCCCATCCATCAATCCTAGCTCTAATAGATACCGGAGAACAGCTGGCGTACCACCTATCTGTAGATCAAACAACAAAACTTACAAACTGACCAATTGAAAACAAATAAGTAATCTGTAGATCAAACAACAAAACTTACAAACTGACCAATTGAAAACAAATAAGTAATAAGCAAAACGATTTAGCCAAAGCCGCACCTTATGTATATCCTCCATAACATATTTCCCACTGGGTTTAAGATCTGCTAGAAATGGAACCGCATCGCTGACCTTCTGAAAATCGTCAAGAGTCAACTCCAAACCAACAGACCTGAAATCATTTCCATTCATTACTTCGGTCCATAGCTATCCATGGTAAGAATAAGAAAAACATATTAATCTGTCACCTTGCAATAGCAATTAGATGCAATACTGCATTTGTTGATCCCCCAAGGGCCATGACGGAAACCATTGCATTACGAAGTGATTTTGGAGTGATAATGTCCCGTGGTTTCAAGTCCATCTTTAACAATTCTAGAAGATATTTTCCAGCTAAGCGACACTCGTCCAATTTCAATGGGTCTTCAGCAGGTATTGAAGAACTTCAAAAAGAAGAAAAACAACTATAAAATTTCGGCATATACAGTTTAGGATCTCCAATGTGCTTGTGGAAATAAATTTCTATTAAGCATAAATCTGTCAAAATAACTTTATAAATGTGGTCTCCAGGACTGAAATCCTCACCTGTAAGGAAGGGACATTCCCATTGCTTCGATGGCGGAAGCCATTGTATTAGCTGTGTACATGCCACCACAGGCTCCAGCTCCAGGACATGAATGATGGAGGACAGTCTTTCTTTGTTCATCACTTATAGAGCCACTAACAAATTCTCCATAACTCTGAAATACAAAATTGAAAAACATCATGAATCCCACAAGTACTGGAGCGATTTGACACCATAGTCACCAAGATTTTTGTAACTTAATCCCAAAATTGAAAACCTGAATGAAGTCTCATTGAATACACAATATAATTTAGAAACAATGAGTAGTATATTGTTATAACCAAGCTTGTAGTAGATAGAAGAAAAGATACCTGGAAAGCAGATACTATGTCATATGTCTTGTCTTGAAAATGGCCAGGCTGCAATAAAATCAAACCTCTGTGAATAAGCTACCCAACTAGTCACAAGGGTTTAGGGTTTAAGAAACTATCTTCTCATCAATATGATAAAATAAAATACCTTAATGGTTCCACCATAAACCATAATGCCTGGTCTGTTAAGCCTTCCCATGGCCATAATAGTTCCAGGCATCTAAAAAATAGCACAAAAACAACATTATAGCAAACAAATCACATAACCATGAAGATGAAGACAACACAAAGAACTGATGATTCGAAAAAAAAAAAGCTTACATTTTTATCACAACCAGGAATAGATATGTTACCATCATACCATTGAGCACTCATCACAGTCTCAATACTATCAGCAATCAAATCCCTAGATTGCAAACTAAAACACATCCCTCTAGTTCCCATCGAAATAGCATCACTCACACCAATCGTATTAAACCTAAACCCAACCATTCCTGCATTTTCAACTCCTTCTTTCACAGCCTCAGACAATTTCAACAAATGCATGTTACAAGTGTTCCCTTCATACCAAACCGACGAGATACCAATTTGGGGTTTTAGCAAATCGTCGTCTGATAAACCAACACCGTGAAGAATTGCTTGAGACCCACCTTGGGATTTGGGTTCAGTGATTCTTGAGCTGTATTTGTTGAGCTTGTTGGAGTCAGTGAGAGGTGGTGAAGGATCAGCGGTTACGGATTGGACGGAGCAGGAGATGGTTGAGGGGCGGTTACGAGAGTTGACATTGTGGGGATGGAGGAGAGGTTTACAGGGGAAGAGAGTGGCGCGTGGGGAGAGGATGGTGGCGTGCATGACGGCGCGTGGAGAAAAGGGTTTAAAGAAGGGTTTTTGACGGCGCAGTGCGTGTGGAGGAGACACTTCAAAAGTGAAGACTTTGAGAGTGAGAAGGAAGATTCTGAATTCAGATAGATACAGAAAAATAGGTTTGTTTGGTAATTTGTGAAACGGTATCGTTTAGTATAATTTAGAAAGTTTTGGTTTAACTCCCCGGTTTGGTAAGGGTGCCAAATGGGGTTTAATCGATCTGAATCAAAACCAAAATCGTATTGAAATAACCAATACATAGAAAATGAAATAAGAGAAATCATTTCGGTTTAACTCGCCGGTTTGGTATATGTGATTGTTTAAATAGTTAGAATTAGGAGTGCCAAATCCACCAACGTTATGTTGGCCCAGTGGGAAATCTTCCAGGTGGAGGTACTGGATTCGACGCCCGTTGGAAGGGATCTCTTCTTCAAAGGAGATGAATTTAACCTGGTGTGGGTTCCGCCTCTGGGAAATGTAGGGCTTTCAGGTTTAAACTTCCAGATATTAAAAAAAAAAAAAAAATGCCAAATCCGGTTTAGTTGATTCGAGTTGTATTAAAGTGAAATAATTGTGTAGAAAATGGAATTAAAGAGTTAGTAAATGGTTTGGTTTCATGTTTTTTTTCATAATTAATACCTTAACAGAACCAAACCAAGGTAAAACAAAAGAACAAAAAAAAACAATTAGAATTGATTTTTAACAGTAAAATTGCTATTTCCATGGACATTTTCGTTTTCCATTGACGTATGTGATTTTACCAATTTTTAATAAAATTTACGATGATATTTTTCTTTTGGTGCTAAAATACCAGAAAAAGGAGCCAAAACCGAAGTAAAAATAATAAATAAACTGACTAAAACTCTTTTTTGAAAATTAAATTTTGCTAAACATGATAAAATACGAGAAAAAATCAAAATTGTACCAAACCAAACCACATGATATAAATTATTTGGGCTATAATGATTGTTAAATAATAAAAAAAAGCAATTGGTGTTTTTAGTGTCCAGTTATTTCTTTCCACAATTTTTGTTATATGAAATGGTTCATGATCATAATTGCTAAATAATTACATCAGGTAAAACAAAACAAAACAAAAAAACGATTTGTGCAAATCTTTCATGGGACATGTGTTTTTTTGAACTCATATTGTTATGATTTACTGTTTCCAACATATAGACTGTAAAATAACAAAAAGAGATATAAATATAATTATATGACATTGTGGATCAAGATTCTCTGACGAGTGATATGACTGTTGCAGAAGACTATTTGACTACAAGTGTTTGTTTATGTACATTCGACACATTTGGTCTTCAATATCAACAGATTTATTGATGCAAATGATCCTGTCTTCTTCTTCTTCGTATTGCTTCCAAGAATCCTCAAACTCTGTCTCAATAAGTCAATCTCTCTTTCTTTCTCATACTTTTGTCTATCCATCAAAACTATTTTCTCTTGAAGTGTCTCAATTGTCTCTTCTTTAACTCTAATTTCATCTCTCAATTCTTCAACTCTCTTTGCTTCTTCTTCTTCTTCTTCTTCTTCCTCAAGTTTCCTTTGCATTATTGCTTCTCCTACAAACACACACTTTAAAGATCCATACTTTTTTCCGAAATTAAATTGAAATGAGTTATGTTTTTTACCGGAGGAAGAAGTAGTGTGGGTGATGAGATGATCAAGCTCATTCTTGATAGCTAAATAGAGTTGTTTCCATTTCTCAATGGCTTCATCTCTCACTGCTCTCTCTACACACATCTCCTCAACCACCCACTTCCAATACTCTCTTTCCTCTGTTGTTGTTGTCTTTGCTTCCTCTCTTTCCTCTAGTTTCTTCCTTAGTCTCCTCACTTCCTCTCTCAGCTTCTTCCTCTCTTTCCTCCACTTTCTCTCAGCCTCTCTAAGTTGATCAAGCATCACTCTCTCCTTCTCTTCTCTCTCTTTTATCAAGGGTCTTCTTCCTCTGCTTTGGTCTTTTGATGTCTCCTTCACACTTCTCATACTTCTTCTCTCTTGCTTGCTTGTGCATCCACCCATGTCTACTCCTTTAGACACTTCTTCTTCTTCTTTTATAACATGAATAAGAATATGTTAATGAAGGAGAATCTCACTCTATCTCTCTGAAAGCTGAGTTCTTGTTTTATTTATGATGTAGAGAGGCTCTCTTCTTCATTCAATGAAGAGAAGTCATAAGTGTGAATGAAGAAGCTCCACTAGTACTACTCCACTACCATTTATATATGGCCCTTCTAAAAAGAGCTTTGTTTTTCACTCACTCACATGTGTAAACACACTACAGTAAAAAAAAGTGAAACTAAAAATTTGGTGGAATGGAATAAATTAAGAGAGAAGTGATGGGAGATGTCAGAAGGGAAGGTGGAGAATTTTGTTAGAAGATTAGGTTTAAGGACATGGAAAACTACAACACTAGATTCTCATCCTTCACCACAATTAATGGTGTGGGCTTTCATTGTTTTTTTTCACATGGTCCATCATCAACTATTTGGACCCATCCCTCTCTTCTATACTCTATAACTCTACACTAATTATTTTCTTTTCATATTACTATTTACTAATCAGTTTCTAAAGTCACAGGTTTCCAAAAAAGAGATAATGTGTGTGTAGATATCACATTAGGAGATGAATATAGACATACCTGTTTTTGAGTGGCTCAAGGGTCAAATTAATCATATAGAGGAAGAGACAAAAGTAATACTGTTGTCTAATCAAAATCTTATTCATATGAATAGTTTCTGTTTTTTAGGTTTTACAGCCACATAATCAATTAAAACGATTAGATTGGTCCCACGATTTTTGTTTGTGAGAATGAGAATTTAGTATATGTGTTTGGCTCAACTGGTTTAAGCTGTAACTTCACGTGAACTTCCCTATTAATCCGGCTCCTTTGTCCTTAATTATTTGTTAAGCATATCTCATATTTTCCTTTTATAAGAAGAATCACTAATTATTACTTGGTGCTTTGTCTCCCTAATTTAGTCGTTCTTTAATTTGGTGAAAAACATTGATTAATAGCTTGTAATTTGGTTTACCTTAATTTACTCTTAGTGGCAAAGTAAATGTAAGAGTGCTTTTTGTTTTTGGTCAGGAGTAACGTAGGAGAGATTAAGGTCTTGGTTTTGTATATTTGCCTTTTTTTTGTCGCCAATATTGTGAACAAGAGTTACTTACTAGTTACTAGTAACTATTGTTTCCGACTAGTTCTGGCCTTGTGTCTAAATATTGTTTAGCAGATAGTTTCATATACAACCTCACCAGTCACCACATGTAAAGAGCCGAATCACAAACGTACACAATCCAAATGACCCACATATTGTTTGTATGTGGAACTATAGGATTTACCGTCAATACCGCCATGTGTGGTTTTTGGTAGCTATTTTACGGTCTAAGTTATTACATTTTACACCCATCCACTAAATTGAAGAACATATGATTTTTCACTTAGTAAATTATACAAACATCACAACAAAGCATAACTAAAAAAGCATCTATTTGCAATTGCAACAAGTTTACATAGTACATATTATTTTATTCATTCATAATAATATGTATTCAAAGAAATGCTATTTATTTTTGGCTTCATTAAAAAAATTTGTACATAAAAGTAGTAGAAATGCCACAACCTGACCAGAAAAAAACCAGAGCTGTGGCATACATTTCATTTTTAATAACAGTACATACACAACCTCCAACAAGCCTAACCATATTTTCGGCATCATCATATAACCATTTCATTATAATCGCATACAAACATAAACCATCGAACCATGCCACAATCTATCTCTCTAGTGAGTGAGAGCCACTGCAGCTTCTTGAACCAGCGGCTGAGTAACGTGCACAAAATGCTCAGCCTCACGCTCAACTTCTTCCCAACACCTATGGGAGTCTCTCCCTTCACCCATTTTCTTCACAAACGCTACGAATTTCCCCCAGTTATCTGCTTGAAACAACTCCGGGTTCATCCTTAGGTAAGTAAATGCACACATCTCTCGGGGTTCTCCCTCGTTGTTTTGATCTAGGTTCAGGGCGGAGGCCTTGAGAATCTGCTCGTGCGCGTAGTCGTCGTACCTAGGCAATGCGTTTTCACCAGCTAGAGGAACTTCTGCAGCCAGCGTGGCTAGAGCCACCTGGTTAACTAGCTTCTCTGGTGCACAAAGTGCGTCTTGAGGTTGCTCGTGGTCTCTCATCTCGATACATGTGAAGTTGAATATGGCGTTGTGTCTGGCTAACATTTGGGCTATTGGGAGGTACCCATCTCTGAACCTTGTGTTGTAGTATCCTGCTGTGAGCTCAGGAGCGTGAGAACGGGTCCCATAGTGCCAGTGGATTCCAGCGATTTTGACCGATATTTTGACACCGGTGTTTTCGAATATTGACTTGGCTGAGGATAGGATCCGCTCGCCGTGATCTAACAGCATCTGGGAGTACCATGAGAGGAAGAAATCTCCATACTCCGTGTTCCAACCACCACCTTCTTTTTTGAAGAACCGAGTGTCTTCTGGCCAGTTATTGTAGTGACCAGCATCGGTTGGGCCAGTACTGCCCCATTCTGGCTTCCCATAAGCCTCAGCTGCTGCTTTCAAGCTGCTTAATGAGTACTACATCAATCATAGCAAGTAAAACAATTTAGTATGACATTCTTTGCAAAATGAATCAGAGGCTATTCATGTGTGATTAGTGGTAAAATTACCTTATCATAGCACTGGAAGGCTCCAATCCCTGGGAACTTCCATGTCCCCTCTTGCTCGGGGTACGAAGGGTAACGCAGTTCTCCTGCAGGTCCCATTCCCACTTGGATTTCCTGAAAAAAATAAAAACAATGCAAACTCAGACTTCCAACCAAATAGAGTAGAGAAACAGAGAGAGTCAAAGACGCATGTTCTAAAACGAAACAAGAAATGGATAAGAGAAGCTAAAACATACCACAATGGTCTCTCCAAGAAGATGCTTGAAGTTGTCTCTGAAAGCACGCATGAAATCCGCGTAGCATTGCACGGGAGTTCTACCTTTGAGAACCGGAAGTGTATCAGCGCCAAGTGATATATACTCACAGTTCCTTCTTCCCCACTGATCAGTGTACGCAAGGTCCGGGTCCTTGTCAACCTCTTCAATAACCCACTGAGGCAGAGGAATACTGCAGAACAAAAAGATTTCCAAATTAGAACACACAAAATCTCATTACTAAATGATAAGACAATGACATCTGCACTCCTATATGAAGTAACTCTATATTAAAGACAAACAAATAATCCACTGGTCCATCTAAAAGAAACGTCTTTACTACAAAATCCATCTTTTGTAATCAATCTTGAAAGAGACATAAAGGCCTCAAGTTAAGAGTTTCGTAAGAAGAAAACAACAGAGAAAAAGACGAACAAGCCGCTAAATATTTTAATTTGAGACGCTCACGCAACAAAGAAAAAGATGTGACTCACACTCTTGAACCTATCACTCTCTTCTTGAATATTGTATCATCACGAGTCACAACAATTACCGTACACGTTACTCCATCAATCAATTAAAAAAATGAACAATCCTGCCTACTCAAACTTTAATCAATCAGTTCCAAGATTGATCATAATCTCAAATCTAATATTTCCAATTCCAAAATTCCTCAAGATCTTTAAAGACCTCACTCAAATTTCCTACAAAATACTCTTTCTAATCTCTGTAAAACCAAAGCCTAAAAATGCAATCTTGACTATCAAAATGCTAACAAACACACGAATTAAGAGAGAATCACGTACGTGACAGAATCACCAACGTTACCACCACACTGATGAAACGACATAACAGCTTGAACCTTAAGTCCAAGCTTCTTAGCCATCTCAAGCAATTCATTATAACCTCCCCAATTATAACTTCCCGGCGATTCCTTCTCCACCAAACCCCACCATACATCAATCATAATCCCTTCAACACCAGCACTCTTCAAAGCTTGCAAACTCGCTTTCATCGCCTTTCTCCGATTCACCGTGTTCCCCATCGTAACACTATCAAGCGGCATCATCACAAACACAGGAACACCTCCTCCTCCTTCTCCACCAATCCCTCCTTCTTTATACGTTCTCTGTTGTTCCTCAATGGTTTCGACTCCATTCTCCAACGCGAAAGCTTTACACGCCACCGACAGATCCGCACGCGTCCCCCCTAGAATTGGACTCATCGGTGGTGATGGATCTGTTCCGTGAGCTTTGTAGTTTCGATTCATTGCTTTAGGTGTCATCATCCTCGCTGATGGTGGTGAAATTGATAACGATGAATCGGTTATTTCACCGGACTTGATCGGAGCTCCGGCGAGTACTCCGATCTGATGCGATAAATTAAGCGCCATTTTCTCTCTATACGAGAAAACGAATCAAAAGAATATTCCTTCTTTACAAAATTCAAATTGATTTTTTTTTTTTTTTTGAAATCAGAGCTTTTTGTGTGACGGAGGAGAGATCGGAGGAGGAAGAGAAGATTATTTATAGGGAAGCATAAAAAGGATAAGATTAAAATAATATTTTTTTATAGAATCGGTGATCGTGTGACACGTGTATAAACGTATGATGTGGATAAAGACACGGTTGAGATCTAAAGAGTCAGAATGGACGGTGGGGTTAGCAGAGCGCGTGAACTTTCCAGCAGACGCGCTTTTAACCTCACATTATTTTTTGTGGTGACCAAAATAGATTTTTATTTAATTTATTATTGTTAGAGTAAAATACAAAAAAGAGATATATAAATATGACTTTATTTGTTATCACGAGTTTATAGGTGAGATAAGCCTTTTTCTTACAAGCAACGGTGATAGTGTTCTACAATGTTCTCTTTCATGAAACGTACGTTTTATTTTGGTGATTTGGTTCCGTATGAAAATAAATAAATATATGAAGGAAACAAATATGTAATAGTGAATAGAAGTAGTATTTGCCTAAATGTTTAGAACAAATGTTTAAGTCTTGGTTCGAGTTATTTCGAGAACATTTAGCAAATGAGTCGATTACAAATAATTGTTTTCTTGTCAACCATAAAAATATTATTGTTTAGAAACTTGAAATGCTTTGCATAACCCGTG